CATGCCCACTGACACACACACAGACACAAAGTACCCACTTCTGGATTATAATACATTCAGATGCAATCTCATCCACTGCGCATAAAAGACAGCAATATGCGCCCCAAAAGCTAACTGTAATATTTCAGTGGTTTATAAGGAGAGTGGAGAGGGAGAAAAAAGCCAGAGGCAGCAACTGGGGAAAACAGATACCACAGAGATTTTTGCCTTGGTCCCCTCTCCATTTCTCTCCCTCTCTCTTCATCTTCTCTTTCTTCCTCTGTCATACTGTCCGTCCTTCTGTCTTTCTCTTTCTCTCTCTCTCTCACTGGCTCTCCCACCCACCTACTCTTGCTTCTCTCTGTGTGACTGCATCATTTCCAACAGTAATGAGAGCACCAGGAGCAGCTAGAAAGCAAGGGAGAGGGGAGGTACTTCAGGGAATTAGAGTGTTTAAAATATACACAACAGTTTTCCTCTTGTGGATGATCAGTGCAAATAGTCCCCCACCCACCCACCCAACCCCTTCCTTTTCTCTGCTCATACACCCACAATAGCTGGAAGGTAGGGGATCACACACCTGCATACTCTGCGCAGTATGTACTGTATTAGAAATATATTAAAAAGCAGCACGAGGTATCTTTTACAGTCAGGTGGCTTCAGTGTTTGTGCCATTGTTTTCTGCATTACCTGATTGTTCAAGATACTCTCATTATTGCAGCTGTATCGCTCCCAGTGGCACTCCGGGACACAGAAAATACATTACACAGCAGTACTTAAGTGTATGAGACATTAACTAAAGCTTTTGCCAGGAGATAGTATGGAGGTAATTTCCTGTTTAAAATTGGTTTTCTTTTCCTCAAGTGAGGGAAGCGTATTCCCCGGCAGAGAAAAAAGCATGAAGACGATGTTTCCATCACTGATACAGTCTGGGTGAGAGGGTGTGTGGGTGTACATGTAGGGGTCTGGGTGTGAACATGTGGGTGCTGATGTCCTCTCTACCCAGACAGCTTTATGGTCATTAGGGATTTGTGCTGATAGGATCTGTGGAGGTTCAGAGCCTCTGGCTGCAGGAGGAAATTGAAGTGACGGGATGATGTTAAGAGCAGCGGGACCCTGAAAACCTGATAATGCTGACCATTTGGACAGATAAACTTCTGTACAGTATAAACAGCCACACACTGTTAACCCTCAGGGTCGCAGTTGAACGAACAGCAAATCACAAGGGAGAGGAGAGTCCGAATAAGGAAAGGGAAACAGCTTCACTCGTTCAAGATCATGACAACTAGCTGCATGTTTGGGACGACAAGACTGAGGCTGGCTATTTATTAAAAGTGAAATTACTTAAAGTGAGATTGTCTTTCTTCCAAGTGGAAAGCTTTATGAACCTGGTAAAGGCTCTACCTTCCTGTCCTCTCTCAAACAGCTCTTGCCTTTCTCTCTCTTTTCTTCTCTTCTTCTGTCATGAATGTAAAGAGTAGGGGGAGGTAGAATATAAACCCAACCCAGTATGAAAAAGCTCTTATTGCTCTGGCCCTGCCTTTCTCATCCTCTTTCTAACAGCTATCCGCAGACTCCTCCTCATTTTCTCTTTTTTCTTGTCTTTATTCATGATCATGGGGAGCAGGGGGAGGCAGAGCATACAGCCTACACTCCTCACCCTGATTCTACCTTTTCTCAGTTTTCCTCTCTTTTCTCGTCTCATGGGTATGATGGGTAATAAGAGCCAGCATGGATGGCAGTAGTTGTGGGATTACGGAGTTAACCCTTATGCCTCCCTGAGGTGCTGTGGGCTTACCTTGACAAAACCTAGACAACAGGGGGTGCCCGTGTGATAGTCCTGTTGATGCGTCAGCTTTTGCTGCCAATAGAGTTTCACAGCTGAGGTGGTCATTAGACTGAAAGTGGAAGAGTCAGAAAAATCAGTGTCATCAGTATCTGTAACTCACATAAATGCATATTGGGTCTCTCCACCACAGCCCTTTCTGTAGGCTACATTGCTTTTAAGGGCGCGTTCACACCACCCTCGTTTAGTCCGGTTGAACCGAACCCTGGAGCGTTTACCCCCCTTGGTGAGGTTCGTTTGGGTCAGTGTGAACGCTGACCTCGAACTCTGGTGCGGACCAAATAAACAAACTCTGGTCCGCCTGAAGAGGTGGTCTCGGACCGCTATCAAGTCAACTCGGGAGCGGTTCATTTCTGGTTGAACGTCATCCACACCAATCACAGGAAACGCACCACACACGTCATTAATGCCTGTCGCCGACTCGTCTTTATCTGTCTGTTGTTTGCAGCGCGTCTACTCTGGAATGTATTAATTAATGCTGCAGTTCGCGCTCTCTGGCTAATGAGCCATTCATGACAGGCGAAGACAGCAGTTTTCTGGAGCGATTGAGTTTGTCCTTTGTGAACGCAAACCGGACCAGTTAAACAATCAAAACAAATGTATCGTCTTGCCTTGGATTCGAATCAGGAGACGGACCTTTAGGTGTGAACACGACCTAAGAAATGCAGAGGACTTTGACTGAGGATGCCGATGGCAAATATTCATTTCAAATTCAAAACATTTTCACTATTCTGACTTTCACATTTCCCTTTTGAACTTTTCAGGGACTTTTATTTTTCAGAAATATTATTTATCACATGAAGGTCTTTGTCCTATGAAAACCTTGGCCAGATTTGAAGCAATAACTTTTTTTTAACATTTAACAGCCATACCTCAAAAGAAGTTGAAACTTTGATCTCTGAATTGAAAATTTCAGCCTGTTAAAATGTCAAAGAGATCAGGTTAATATTAGTTGTGTAGAATTTGCTTCCCAAGGTTCTTGAAACAAGAAATTAAAAGGACAGGACCACAGCACCCTTAGAAGCCCCGCACACAGATATGAAGGCTCAATAAAACAAGCTTTTTTTCACAGAGAGGAGGTCAAAGTTGTACGGACTTCTTCTTCGGATTCATGACATAACAGAAAAAATGAAAAGTTGCGGTTAAATATTTGCGATTACTCACGTTTTGTTCAAGGGGTAACTTGATGTCTTCATTTGTTGTTTGTTGATCTGTTGAACAGGAATTCAAACATTAACCTTACAAGGCTCACATAGGCGGAATTATTGGCTTTGTTTGCCTGGTACTTTTAATTAAATTTGTTCCGTACAGAAATCCGAGGCCACATTTCTACTCAACAACAAGGACTCTCTTTTTCTTCACTTCGGGAGAACTCTGATAAACTGTTAAGCTTATATAAGAACAGACACATGCACAAATTAAGAAGCAAAATTATGCATGTTACACATACTTGCATGATCTGTAGCTGCACACAGACACATGATTTCTCTCTTTGTGGGGCTTGTTACATGTTTCTCTACAGTAAACGCCTGCAACCATTACAGCGGAGTCTGAATCAATCACAGCTCCTCGTAAGACACCGGGGAGGGTCACCCTGCTAGTTTAAGCAATGATGACAATAAACTTATGTGTGTGCAGTGTTTCATAGACGACTGGGGCAGAATTGCATCAATAGGTCCATATATGGGCGTACAGGCAGACAGATCCACGCTTCATTCTCTGTTTTTACTGTAACTGGGAGTTGCAGAGTCCCCCAGGAACAAACCTTTCATGTACAAGGGCATGCAGATAAAACAAAAAAACTGCACCACCAACACACGCACACTGTTAGTCATATCAGATCAAAACCAGAAGGCAACATGTCTTTGAATGACACAGCTCTGAGGCCGGTTCATGTGGTGCGGGCATCTACAAAGAACTACGGTGTGAGCGGGGCTGAGATATGTCAGGAACCCAGGCTGGGGGACTGGACATAAACTCAGTTAAAGGCAGGAAAATGGTGCAGAACAAGAGAGAATGAGTGGGTTGCAGAGGAGCAACAGTTTGTCTAAGAGTAGGAGGCTGTCAGGAATAATGTGTTTGAAAAAGCTGCAGAAGCTCAGAGATCAGCCATGTTTGTGTAGAAGTGTTTGGAAGTTCAATTGCCTTTAGAAACCAAAAAGTTTTTTTCTGTCTTTTTTTTTTGCAAGGTGTCCTTTGGGCGTTTGTTGAATAAAACATGTGATAAGAGAAAGTTTGGTTCATTTTTTTTCTGTGCATCAAAACAACAACAGCACCTCTGTTTTTAATGGTATTTTGATTTAGTCACTGAAAGCAGATCTTTGAAGAGCCTAAGGCTAGATTGATGGCTGCAATAAATCTAAAGACAGTAGCCCATCAAAGTCAGACGTTTTTGGTGAGTCATATCTCATCTGCAAACGACAGGTGTCCTTCCCTAAATGCAACAAACTAAAAACTTCAGCTATAGCTTAAAGGGAAAATCTTCAGTTCCCCTTTTGGTCACATAAATCAAGCAAAAGATGCAGAGAAAGAACAAAGTGGACTCTCTTCCCACGCTTGTCCCTCTGTGTCCTTCCACCTCACAAACCCAGAGCTCTCTGTAGCGTTCACTGTTGACGTGGAGCAACAAAAAGGCGCCCTAATCCCGGGCTGAATATGCATGACTCCTCTGTGGGTGCTCACAGTGGAACAGTTTCAGCACCGCGCTGGTGAACAGCGCCAAACACAGCCAGCTCCGAGCTGCGCTTTGACGGCAGCAGTTTGACAGGCCGAGCCGGAGAAAAAGAGCCTTTTATCTGTAATCTAATCGTTACACCCCAGAGGTTGCAACTGAGTGAGGTTTTCCTTTTTCCCCTGACGATATCCAGACCTTGTAGAAGCATAGGGCTTTTACTTTGAAGCCCTCAAAGCATAGGGAGGAGAGAAGGGGGCGAGGGGAGGAAGAAGAATTGACATAAACATGTTGCCTGTGCCTTTTACGCAATAGAAGGCACAGGCTCATTTTCCCTCTCCGCCTGACAAGATGAGGTGAAAATAGTAAAATGAATCGAGAGAAAGGAGAGATGGAAAAGAATAACAAGGAGAGAAGGAGGAGGAGGAGGTGGTGGTGGTGGAGGATTTGGGGGTTGCACTTCAATTCTGAGTTACTCAAGCACAGCGTGGACAGAAATGATTCCCCCCATCCCTGACCCACGCACGGGCACGAGCTGCTTATTATAGGCTGCAACAGGAATCCGGTCCGGTGCAGCCCCTGAGAAAGAGAGAGTCAGACACTTGTACAGAGAGAGAGAAGGAGGGGGGAGAAGAAGGAGGAGGAGGAGGAGAGAGAGAGAGAGAGAGGGTGAGTGTGTGTTCCTTGAGAAAGACTGAACCTCTTCAGTCTGCCTGCGTTGGCGCACAATAACAACTAGAAGAGACTGCATGCTCTGGATGAGTTTGCCTTCTCGTTGAATGGATTTCATTCACAGAGATTTTTGAGCATATTTTTAGAAAGGGGAAGGGAGGAGGGTCAGATGTTTTCCCCTTCGACGTGCATGAAGCGGGGGCGCACCTGCCAGAGAGTCTGCTCCCCTTTTCTGTACTGAGAACCCCCCTATTGGGATGCTGCTGCTGCTGCTGCCGCTGCTGCTGCTTGACTTGGGCTGCGTGAACTTTACAGACTGGACCAGTGGACTGTAAAAAGAGACAGAAAGAGAAGACGAGGGAGAAGACAGAGGGGTGTTGGGGTGAGCAACGCTTAAAAGAGAGAGGGAGAGGGAGAGAGAGGGTGTGTGTGTGAAACAGAGAGTGGATGGATTCGTCTCTTTCTCTGGCACTCCACAGGCGCTCATTCATTTATTTAAACCCGAGCGACAGGAGCATGCCAAGCGCAGACTCCAGCGGCGGAGCTCGGTCAGTATCACATCACAGCCTCTCTCATTCTGTCTCTTTCACACTTCTAATGTCAAGTTTCACCCCACTGATTCATTCTCGTCTTCTTTTCTTCTTTGTACGCACGCCTAGACTTACCATCAGAGGACAAGAGTGACACGTCCTCTGCTGTCGCGCGTTCACCTGCACATACACCCCGCGCGGCAGGACCCTACTTTGGGAAGCCAGGACCCACAAGAGACGAGGAAAAAACGAGACGTATTTGAGCCAAACAGCTCTGTGAGACTCGTGGGGATGGCGTGCAGCGCGTGTTACTACCTGGTTATCAGCTCCACACACCTGAGCAATGGACACTTTCGGCGCGTCAAGGGGGTCTTCAGGGGACCGTTGCGTCCCACCGCGAGCAGCGATTCTCCGGGGAGAGATCACGCAAGGCTCGATGGATTTCCCAAGGTGGGTGTGAAAGAGAGAGTGAGAAAAAGAGAGAGAGAGAGAAATAACCTGCCTGCGTATTTATTTTGACCCTTTAAACTTCTAAAATGATCTTCCTCAGACACTTTTCTCGACTATTTGAAAAGTGGTAACAAGACAGGACGTCCCTCACAAGTAGCAAGAGAAACTAGGACCCCGTTGGGGCACTGGCGGGCCCGAGCCGTGTCGCCCCCCCCCCCCCCCCCAACGTGCTGCCTCCCCGTCCCATTTGTGTCCTCTGGCCATCGCCCTCTCTGGTAACGCCCATCACTGCAAAGACCCTTTTCCTTCATCGGCGTTTGCTGTTCTTCCTGCCAGTGCGTGTTGCTTTCACTTACACTTGCCACAGCCAGCCTCGTGAGTGCCTAGCCTATTCGATATCACTGTCACCTACACAGGACAGTCATTACCTTTCTATTAATACTTTGTGTTTTAATTTCACATTAATTTCCATATTGTATAAACGACTGGAAAAAACTTGAGCCCCTGCCCCTGTATAATCATGTGCATGTCTCTGTTCTAGCACCAAGGTGAATCTTCACTGCTCATGTTCTCCTCAGAAGCACTCACCTCACTCCCCTCAGGTTATTGTACACATGCACCAACTGCCTGCTTCAGGTTTGGATGGAGCTTCATGGTTGTCTTTTGGAGAAATGACCAGTCAAGTTGTGTTTGAAATTTGATTTTTTTCAGGGGCAAAAGGAGCCTCTGCATTCTTGTCAAATATGTAAATAGCATGTTTTTGCAGGTGCTAAAAACCAGACTCTGAGTGTGTGTGTGTGTGTGTGTGTGTGTGTGTGTGTGTGTGTGTGTGTGTGTGTGTGTGTGTGTGTGTCTGTGTGTGCGTTCAAGTCACATGACATATTTAACCGGATGTAGCTGCAAGACGGAGCCTCGTTGACTCTCCGTTTCAACTTATCTCAAAAGTGAGGACCTCAACCTATATACCAGTTTTTAAATTGTGTTGATAGGCCAAATAAAACCAGAGTTATGATAAATTATGTCCGCGATACTTTTTTTCTGCTTATTTTGATCACGTTCGGCGCTCGATCGCGCTGTATGAGACAGGAAAACATAGCATGCAGACATTAGCGACAGGTCTTACAGGCGGAAAAGGCTTGCCAAAAGAAAAAAAAAACACACCACAACATCTCTCCTATTGGTGGAAAACTTCACCACAACAACCAATCCAAAATTATATGGTGACTGAATGACAAGGGGCGGGCGCTTACGTTCTTCCTGCAACATGAGAAGGGAGGGAGGGACTCTCAGCAGGGATGCAGTCTGGGACACGTAGTTGCAAACCTAGCGACTTTGTTGTTAGATTCAATGACTTTTCAGACCCCCTAACGACTTTTTTTAGAAAGAAAGGGACTTTTATCGACTTCTTCTGGAGTTTAGAGACTCTGACATGAAGCAGGCTTTCCTTACTGAGGAGTTAGCAACGCTGCTAAGGGTGCAGAGCCACACATGCGCTCAGAGCTCTGCATGGGAGACTGAAGCTGACAGAGCTGCAGCAGTTAGCAGGTTTCACCCTCAGAGACCACCAGGGGTTCATGTTGAGGAATTTTAATTTTTTCCTTTTTTGTGCCATAGACACTGTCAGCACAATCTGCAGTTACACTAACAAAAATGCTGCAAAAAACAAAGAATTATGGAAAAATTACACATGGACTGACATAGAGGAGGATCTACACAAGTTTTTTACATCATGTTTTACATCATGCATCATTTACATCATGTTTTTTTGTAGTGGCATAAATAAAAAGTGACATTTGTGAGACTATACAGTGTTTTGTAAATAATTTTACAAAGAACGCCTGGGCCATTGCCTGCATTTTGATGTAAATAGAGGTAAATCACTATGTTCTTTGTTAAAAATTTGCATATGTTTTGAAGTTTACAATTTTTATTTGAAGTTTAAGTTTTAAAAACAGTTCATCACACCTATTTGTGGTTTTCACAGTAAAAATGTTACTTTTTTCCACTCGGATTTTATGTTTTGTGTGTGAATTTGGGTCCATTGTGTAAATTCAGTATGTCAACATGATAAAATAACTGTAAATTCGCACAGGTGAGGTTGTGCTGAAAAAAATGATACCAGGCAAGGCACGTGATTGTCAAATTTTGTGTCAATATGACAAAGCGTATAGGCGTGAATCTCAACAATATGTATGTTGACCTTAGGGGACAAGAAAAAATGGACTTTTTTCTCCTGCCATGGGGGGGCGCTCTTTTGGGGAGTAAAAATTCCTTCACAAATGCGTTGATGGCTGGACATTGCATCATCCTAGAAAACTTGGAGGCCAGTGAGGACAAAAATAAAAAGTTATAAGACTTTTAAATATGTGGATTTTAGGGTTGTCTTTGGCGCCCCCTAGAACCTAAACCGTGGGGTGCAGCGTCATGATTTGAATAACTTTTAATGGCCATGGGGTGTAGATTGGCCTGAGCAAATGTGGTGCCGGTGGACAGAAAGCCTTCGGAGGAGTTAGCGAAATTCCAATGTGTGCGGATCGGCAAAAAATGCGGAATAACCCTTTAACCGTACATTTGACAGATACGCGCGCACTGACTTTTTCGTAGATCTTATTGAGATACACGTGATTGTCAAATTTTGTGTCAATATGACAAAGCGTATAGGCGTGACACTCAACAATGTGTATTTTCACCTTAGGGGACAAGAAAAAATGGACTTTTTTCTCCTGCCATGGGGGGGCGCTCTTTTGGGGAGTAAAAATTCCTTCACAAATGTGTTGATGGCTGGACATTGCATCATCCTAGAAAACTTGGAGGCCAGTGAGGACAAAAATAAAAAGTTATAAGACTTTTAAATATGTGGATTTTAGTGTTATCTTTGGCGCCCCCTAGAACCTAAACCTTGGGGTGCAGCGTCATGATTTGAATAACTTTTAATGGCCATGGGGTGTAGATTGGCCTGAGCAAATGTGGTGCCGGTGGAACGAAAGCCTTCGGAGGAGTTAGCGAAATTCCAATGTGTGCGGATCGGCAAAAAATGCAAAATAACCCATTAACCGTACATTTGACAGATACGCCCGCACTGACTTTTTTGTAGATCTTATTGAGATACATGTGTGTGTCAATTTTTGTGTCATTTTGACAAAGCGTACAGGCGTCATGTGAATTTTCACCTTAGGGGGCGCTATGGAGCCATTTTGCATTTTCTTGTTTGGGCGACTTCGGAATATCAAATTTTTCACCAGGCCCGGTCGTCCTGCCAAATTTCATGAGTTTTCGCCAGTGGGAAGTGGGCCATTTTCCAGTTCAAAGGGGAGGAAAAAGAAAAAAGAAACAAAGAAAAACCACTTGGGGAATAATAGGGCTCTCGCAGCTGCTTAGCAGCTACGCTCGGGCCCTAAAAAGTGTGCTTGGAAGCGTGTCAACAGTGTGTGCAAGTCGTTTTAACAGCAGATCAAGTGGCACTACCAGATATTTGGATAAGTGGGTAGTGCCTTTACTGCAAAGCACTATCTTTTTCTTTTTCTAACTCTTTAGGGCCCGAGCGTAGCTGCTAAGCAGCTGCGAGAGCCCTCTTGTTAGGGCCCGAGCGTAGCTGCTAAGCAGCTGCGAGAGCCCTCTTGTTCCTGCATGTTTCCTTCTTTCGTTATTATTTTTCCTCCGCTTTAAACTGGAAAATGGCCCACTTCCCACTGGCGAAAACTCATGAAATTTGGCAGGACGACCGGGCCTGGTGAAAAATTCGATATTCTGAAGTCGCCCAAACAATAAATTGCAAAATGGCTCCATAGCGCCCCCTAAGGTGAAAATTCACACTATTGACTGTCACGCCTTTACGCTTTGTCATATTGACACAAAAATTGACACACACATGTATCTCAATAAGATCTACAAAAAAGTCAGTGCGGGCGTATCTGTCAAATGTACGGTTAATGGGTTATTTTGCATTTTTTGCAGATCTGCACACATTGGACTTTCGCTAACTCCTCCGAAGGCTTTCGTTCGACCGGCACCACATTTGCGCAGGCCAATCTACCCCCCATGGCCATTAAAAGTTGTACAAATCATGACGCTGCACCCCACGGTTTACGTTCTAGGGGGCGCCAAAGATAACCCAAAAATCCACATTCTTAAAAGTCTTATAACTTTTTACTTTTGTCCTCACTGGCCTCCAAGTTTTCTAGGATGATGCAATGTCCAGCCATCAACACATTTGTGAAGGAATTTTTACTCCCCAAAAGAGCGCCCCCCAATGGCAGGAGAAAAAGGTCCATTTTTTTCTTGTCTCCTAAGGTGAAAATACACATTGTCGAGTGTCACGCCTGTATGCTTTGTCATATTGACACAAAATTTAACAATCACGTGTATCTCAATAAGTTCTACAAAAAAGTCAATACGCACGTATCTGTAAAATGTACAGCTAAAGGGCTATTTTGCATTTTTTGCCGATTCGCACACATTGGAATGTGGCTAACTCCTCCTAAGGCTTTCGTCCCACTGACACCAAATTTGCTCAGGCCAATCTACACCCCATGGCCATTAAAAGTTGTAAAAATCATGCCGCTGCACCCCACGGTTTACGTTCTAGGGGGCGCCAAAGATAACCCAAATATCCACAGTCTTAAAAGTCTTATAACTTTTTATTTTTGTCCTCACTGGCCTCCAAGTTCTCTAGGATGATGCAATGTCCAGCCATCAACACATTTGTGAAGGAATTTTTACTCGCCAAAAGAGCGCCCCCCCATGGCAGGAGAAAAAAGTCCATTTTTTCTTGTCTCCTAAGGCGAAAATACACATTGTTGACTGTCACGCCTTTACGCTTTGTCAAAATGACACAAAATTTGACACACACATGTATCTCAATAAGATCTACAAAAAAGTCAGTGTGGGCGTATCTGTCAAATGTACGGTTAAAGGGTTATTTCGCATTTTTTGCCGATCCGCACACATTGGAATTTCGCTAACTCCTCCGAAGGCTTTCGTTCCAACGGCACCACATTTGCTCAGGCCAATCTACACCCCATGGCCATTAAAAGTTGTACAAATCATGATGCTGCACCCCACGGTTTACGTTCTAGGGGGCGCCAAAGATAACCCAAAAATCCACAGTCTTAAAAGTCTTATAACTTTTTATTTTTGTCCTCACTGGCCTCCAAGTTCTCTAGGATGATGCAATGTCCAGCCATCAACACATTTGTGAAGGAATTTTTACTCACCAAAAGAGCGCCCCCCCCATGGCAGGAGAAAAAGTCAAGTTTTTCCTGCCCATCGCTCAATGGCTCAAACGCATCGCTCTCTCGGCAAAACCGAAAGGAGGAGCAACTTGCCATTTGGATATATACTAGCTGTGTTTGTGCCCTCACTCATGGTCCAGACTTTTTTCAAAAAGGACATGGAGTTTGTCTGCAGCGAGCGTTTTGGTAGAAACTGCGCCTCCCATTCATTATAATGGTAAATGACCACAGACAAGTGCGCACACCATCTTTGGACCTTGAGTGTGACGCGATCGGGAGGGGTAGGCGGTCGCGCTGGGGGTGGCGCGACACGGCTCGGGCCCGCCAGTGCCCCAACGGGGCCCTAGTTCCTGCATGTTTCCTTCTTTTGTTATTATTAGGGCCCGAGCGTAGCTGCTAAGCAGCTGCGAGAGCCCTGTTGTTCCTGATGGATTCTTCTTAGGGCCCGAGCGTAGCTGCTAAGCAGCTGCGAGAGCCCTCTTGTTCCTGCATGTTTCCTTCTTTTGTTATTAGGGCCCGAGCGTAGCTGCTAAGCAGCTGCGAGAGCCCTATTGTTCCTGCATGTTTCCTTCTTTTGTTATTAGGGCCCGAGCGTAGCTGCTAAGCAGCTGCGAGAGCCCTATTATTCCCCAAGTGGTTTTTCTTTGTTTCTTTCTTTCTTCTTTTTCCTCCCCTTTGAACTGGAAAATGGCCCACTTCCCACTGGCGAAAACTCATGAAATTTGGCAGGATGACCGGGCCTGGTGAAAAATTTGATATTCCGAAGTCGCCCAAACAAGAAAATGCAAAATGGCTCCATAGCGCCCCCTAAGGTGAAAATTCACACTATTGACTGTCACGCCTTTATGCTTTGTCAAAATGACACAAAAATTGACACACATATGTATCTCAATAAGATCTACAAAAAAGTCAGTGCGGGCGTATCTGTCAAATGTACGGTTAAAGGGTTATTCCGCATTTTTTGCCGATCCGCACACATTGGAATTTCGCTAACTCCTCCGAAGGCTTTCTTTCCACCGGCACCACATTTGCTCAGGCCAATCTACACCCCATGGCCATTAAAAGTTATTCAAATCATGACGCTGCACCCCACGGTTTAGGTTCTAGGGGGCGCCAAAGATAACACTAAAATCCACATATTTAAAAGTCTTATAACTTTTTATTTTTTGCCCTCACTGGCCTCCAAGTTTTCTAGGATGATGCAATGTCCAGCCATCAACACATTTGTGGAGGAATTTTTACTCCCCAAAAGAGCGCCCCCCCATGGCAGGAGAAAAAAGTCCATTTTTTCTTGTCCCCTAAGGTGAAAATACACATTGTTGAGTGTCACGCCTGTACGCTTTGTCAAAATGACACAAAAATTGACACACACATGTATCTCAATAAGATCTACAAAAAAGTCAAAGCGCGCGTATCTGTCAAATGTACGGTTAAAGGGTTATTCCGCATTTTTTGCCGATCCGCACACATTGGAATTTCGCTAACTCCTCCGAAGGCTTTCGTTCCACCGGCACCACATTTGTTCAGGCCAATCTACACCCCATGGCCATTAAAAGTTATTCAAATCATGACGCTGCACCCCACGGTTTACGTTCTAGGGGGCGCCAAAGATAACCCTAAAATCCACATATTTAAAAGTCTTATAACTTTTTATTTTTGTCCTCACTGGCCTCCAAGTTTTCTAGGATGATGCAATGTCCAGCCATCAACACATTTGTGAAGGAATTTTTACTCCCTAAAAGAGCGCCCCCCCATGGCAGGAGAAAAAAGTCCATTTTTTCTTGTCCCCTAAGGTGAAAATACACATTGTTGACTGTCACGCCTGAACGCTTTGGCAAAATGACACAAAAATTGACAATCATGTGTATCTCAATTAGATCTACGAAAAAGTCAAAGAGCGCGTATCTGTATAATGTACGGTAAAAGGGCTATTTTGCATTTTTTGCCGATTCGCACACATTGGAATTTCGCTAACTCCTCCTAAGGCTTTCGTCCCACTGACACCAAATTTGCTCAGGCCAATCTACATTCCATGGCCATTCAAAGTTGTAAAAATCATGACGCTGCACCCCACGGTTTACGTTTTAGGGGGCGCCAAAGATGACCCAAATATACATTACAGTAGACAAAGTAGTTTTGCCCACTGAGTGGCGCCAAAGGGACTTGTCTGTGGAGTCTGTGAGTCACTATTGGCCGTTTTTGACTACTTTAGATTTTACCTTTATATTTCCTCTTACAAAATTTTTACCTTGCCTTGCCTGGTATCATTTTTTTCAGCACAACCTCACCTGTGTCAATTTACAGTTATTTTATCATTTTGACATACTATATTTACACATTGGACCCAAATTCACACACAAAACATAAAATCTGAGTGGAAAAAAGTAATGTTTTTACTCTGAAAACCACAAATATGTGTGATGAACTGTTTTTAAAACTTAAACTTCAAATAAAAATTGTAAACTTCAAAACATATGCAAATTTTTAACAAAGAACATAGTAATTTACCTCTATTTACATCAAAATGCAGGCAATGGCCCAGGTGTTCTTTGTAAAATTATTTACAAAACACTGTATAGTCTCACAAATGTCACTTTTTATTTATGCCACTACAAAAAAACATGATGTAAATGATGCATGATGTAAAACATGATGTAAAAAACTTGTGTAGATCCTCCTCTATGTTAGTCCATGTGTAATTTTTCCATAATTCTTTGTTTTTTGCAGCATTTTTGTTAGTGTAACTGCAGATTGTGCTGACAGTGTCTATGGCAAAAAAAAAAAAAAACAACTGAAAATGCCTCAACATGAACCCCTGGTGGTCTCTGAGGGTGAAACCTGCTAACTGCTGCAGCTCTGTCAGCTTCAGTCTCCCATGCAGAGCTCGGAGCGCATGTGTGGCTCTGCACCCTTAGCAGCGTTGCTAACTCCTCAGTAAGGAAAGCCTGCTTCATGTCAGAGTCTCTAAACTCCAGAAGAAGTCGATAAAAGTCACTTTCTTTCTAAAAAAAAGTCGTTAGGGGGTCTGAAAAGTCATTGAATCTAACAACAAAGTCGCTAGGTTTGCAACTACGTGTCCCAGACTGCATCCCTGCTGAGAGTCCCTCCCTCCCTTCTCATATTGCAGGAAGAACGTAAGCGCCCGCCCCTTGTCAATCAGTCACCATATAATTTTGGATTGGTTGTTGTGGTGAAGTTTTCCACCAATAGGAGAGATGTTGTGGTGTGTTTTTTTTTTCCTTTGGCAAGCCTTTTCCGCTGTAAGACCTGTCGCTAATGTCTGCATGCTATGTTTTCCTGTCTCATACAGCGCGATCGAGCGCCGAACGTGATCAAAATAAGCTGAAAACAAGTATCGCGGACATAATTTATCATAACTCTGGTTTTATTTGGCCTATCAACACAATTTAAAAACTGGTATATAGGTTGAGGTCCTCACTTTTGAGATAAGTTGAAACGGAGAGTCAATGAGGCTCCGTCTTGCAGCTACATCCGGTTAAATATGTCGTGTGACTTGAAGGCACACACACACACACACACACACACACAGACACACACACACACACACGCACACACACACACCCAGAGTCTGGTTTTTAGCACCTGCAAAAACATGCTATTTACATATTTGACAAGAATGCAGAGGCTCCTTTTGCCCCTGAAAAAAATCAGATTTCAAACACAACTTGACTGGTCATTTCTCCAAAAGACAACCATGAAGCTCCATCCAAACCTGAAGCAGGCAGTTGGTGCATGTGTACAGTAACCTGAGGGGAGTGAGGTGACTGCTTCTGAGGAGAACATGAGCAGTGAAGATTCAGCTTAGACCTAGAACAGAGACGTGCACATGATTATACAGGGGCAGGGGCTCAAGTTTTTTCCAGTTGTTTATACAATATGGAAATTAATGTGAAATTAAAAAACAAAGTATTAATAGAAAGGTAATGACTGTCCTGTGTAGGTGACAGTGATATCCAATAGGCTAGGCACTCACGAGGCTGGCTGTGGCAAGTGTAAGTGAAAGCAACACGCACTGGCAGGAAGAACAGCAAACGCCGATGAAGGAAAAGGGTCTTTGCAGTGATGGGCGTTACCAGAGAGGGCGATGGCCAGAGGACGCGAATGGGACGGGGAGGCAGCACGTTGGGGGGGGGGACGCGACACAGCTCGGGCCCGCCAGTGCCCCAACGGGGTCCTAGTTATTAGGGCCCGAGCGTAGCTGCTAAGCAGCTGCGAGAGCCCTATTATTCCCCAAGTGGTTTTTCTTTGTTTCTTTTTTCTTTTTCCTCCCCTTTGAACTGGAAAATGGCCCACTTCCCACTGGCGAAAACTCATGAAATTTGGCAGGACGACCGGGCCTGGTGAAAAATTTGATATTCTGAAGTCGCCCAAACAATACAATGCAAAATGGCTCCATAGCGCCCCCTAAGGTGAAAAATTCACCTGACGCCTGTACGCTTTGTCAAAATGACACAAAAATTGACACACACATGTATCTCAATAAGATCTACAAAAAAGTCAGTGCGGGCGTATCTGTCAAATGTACGGTTAAAGGGTTATTGCGCATTTTTTGCCGATCCGCACACATTGGAATTTCGCTAACTCCTCCGAAGGCTTTTGTTCCACCGGCACCACATTTGCTCAGGCCAATCTACACCCCATGGCCATTAAAAGTTATTCAAATCATTATGCTGCACCCCACGGTTTAGGTTCTAGGGGGCGCCAAAGATAACCCTAAAATCCACATATTTCAAAGTCTTATAACTTTTTATTTTTGCCCTCACTGGCCTCCAAGTTTTCTAGGATGATGCAATGTCCAGCCATCAACACATTTGTGAAGGAATTTTTACTCCCCAAAAGAGCGCCCCCCCATGGCAGGAGAAAAAAGTCAATTTTTTCTTGTCCCGTAAGGTGAAAATTCACATTGTTGAGTGTGACACCTGTACGCTTTGTCATATTGACACAAAATTTGACTATCACATGTATCTCAATAAGATCTACGAAAAAGTCAATGTGCGCGTATCTGTCAAATGTACGGTTAAAGGGTTATTCCGCATTTTTTGCCGATCCGCACACATTGGAATTTCGCTAACTCCTCCGAAGGCTTTCGTTCCACCGGCACCACATTTGCTCAGGCCAAATTACACCCCATGGCCATTAAAAGTTATTCAAATCATGACGCTGCACCCCACGGTTTACGTTCTAGGGGGCGCCAAAGATAACCCAAAAATCCACATTTTTAAAAGTCTTATAACTTTTTATTTTTGTCCTCACTGGCCTCCAAGTTTTCTAGGATGATGCAATGTCCAGCCATCAACACATTTGTGAAGGAATTTTTACTCCCTAAAAGAGCGCCCCCCCATGGCAGGAGAAAAAAGTCCATTTTTTCTTGTCCCCTAAGGTGAAAATACACATTGTTGACTGTCACGCCTGTACGCTTTGGCAAAATGACACAAAAATTGACAATCATGTGTATCTCAATTAGATCTACGAAAAAGTCAAAGAGCGCGTATCTGTATAATGTACGGTAAAAGGGCTATTTTGCATTTTTTGCCGATTCGCACACATTGGAATTTCGCTAACTCCTCCTAAGGCTTTCGTCCCAATGACACCAAATTTGCTCAGGCCAATCTACACTCCATGGCCATTCAAAGTTGTAAAAATCATGACGCTGCACCCCACGGTTTACGTTTTAGGGGGCGCCAAAGATGACCCAAATATACATTACAGTAGACAAAGTAGTTTTGCCCACTGAGTGGCGCCAAAGGGACTTGTCTGTGGAGTCTGTGAGTCACTATTGGCCGTTTTTGACTACTTTAGATTTTACCTTTATATTTCCTCTTACAAAATTTTTACCTTGCCTTGCCTGGTATCATTTTTTTCAGCACAACCTCACCTGTGTCAATTTACAGTTATTTTATCATTTTGACATACTATATTTACACATTGGACCCAAATTCACACACAAAACATAAAATCCGAGTGGAAAAAAGTAACGTTTTTACTGTGAAAACCACAAATATGTGTGATGAACTGTTTTTAAAACTTAAACTTCAAATAAAAATTGTAAACTTCAAAACATATGCAAATTTTTAACAAAGAACATAGTAATTTACCTCTATTTACATCAAAATGCAGGCAATGGCCCAGGTGTTCTTTGTAAAATTATTTACAAAACTCTGTATAGTCTCACAAATGTCACTTTTTATTTATGCCACTACAAAAAAACATGATGTAAATGATGCATGATGTAAAACATGATGTAAAAAACTTGTGTAGATCCTCCTCTGTTAGAATTATGGAAAAATTACACATGGACTTTGTTTTTTGCAGCATTTTTGTTAGTGTAACTGCAGATTGTGCTGACAGTGTCTATGGCAAAAAAAAAAAAAAACTGAAAATGCCTCAACATGAACCCCTGGTGGTCTCTGAGGGTGAAACCTGCTAACTGCTGCAGCTCTGTCAGCTTCAGTCTCCCATGCAGAGCTCGGAGCGCATGTGTGGCTCTGCACCCTTAGCAGCGTTGCTAACTCCTCAGTAAGGAAAGCCTGCTTCATGTCAGAGTCTCTAAACTCCAGAAGAAGTCGATAAAAGTCACTTTCTTTCTAAAAAAAAGTCGTTAGGGGGTCTGAAAAGTCATTGAATCTAACAACAAAGTCGCTAGGTTTGCAACTACGTGTCCCAGACTGCATCCCTGCTGAGAGTCCCTCCCTCCCTTCTCATATTGCAGGAAGAACGTAAGCGCCCGCCCCTTGTCAATCAGTCACCATATAATTTTGGATTGGTTGTTGTGGTGAAGTTTTCCACCAATAGGAGAGATGTTGTGGTGTGTTTTTTTTTTCCTTTGGCAAGCCTTTTCCGCCTGTAAGACCTGTCGCGAATGTCTGCATGCTATGTTTTCCTGTCTCATACAGCGCGATCGAGCGCCGAACGTGATCAAAATAAGCAGAAAACAAGTATCGCGGACATAATTTATCATAACTCTGGTTTTATTTGGCCTATCAACACAATTTAAAAACTGGTATATAGGTTGAGGTCCTCACTTTTGAGATAAGTTGAAATGGAGAGTCAACGAGGCTCCGTCTTGCAGCTACATCCGGTTAAATATGTCATGTGACTTGAACGCACACACACACACACACACACACACACACAGACACACACACACGCACACACACACACTCAGAGTCTGGTTTTTAGCACCTGCAAAAACATGCTATTTACATATTTGACAAGAATGCAGAGGCTCCTTTTGCCCCTGAAAAAAATCAAATTTCAAACACAACTTGACTGGTCATTTCTCCAAAAGACAACCATGAAGCTCCATCCAAACCTGAAGCAGGCAGTTGGTGCATGTGTACAGTAACCTGAGGGGAGTGAGGTGACTGCTTCTGAGGAGAACATGAGCAGTGAAGATTCACCTTAGAGCTAGAACAGAGACGTGCACATGATTATACAGGGGCAGGGGCTCAAGTTTTTTCCAGTTGTTTATACAATATGGAAATTAATGTGAAATTAAAAAACAAAGTATTAATAGAAAGGTAATGACTGTCCTGTGTAGGTGACAGTGATATCCAATAGGCTAGGCACTCACGAGGCTGGCTGTGGCAAGTGTAAGTGAAAGCAACACGCACTGGCAGGAAGAACAGCAAACGCCGATGAAGGAAAAGGGTCTTTGCAGTGATGGGCGTTACCAGAGAGGGCGATGGCCAGAGGACACAAATGGGACGGGGAGGCAGCGCGTTGGGGGGGGGACGCGACACAGCTCGGGCCCGCCAGTGCCCCAACGGGGTCCTAGTTATTATTATTATTTTTCCTCCCCTTTGAACTGGAAAATGGCCCACTTCCCACTGGCGAAAACTCATGAAATTTGGCAGGACGACCGGGCCTGGTGAAAAATTTGATATTCCGAAGTCGCCCAAACAATAAAATGCAAAATGGCTCCATAGCGCCCCCTAAGGTGAAAATTCACACTATTGACTGTCACGCGTGTACGCTTTGTCAAAATGACACAAAAATTGACACACACATGTATCTCAATAAGATCTACAAAAAAGTCAGTGCGGGCGTATCTGTCAAATGTACGGTTAAAGGGTTATTTCGCATTTTTTGCCGATCCGCACACATTGGAATTTCGCTAACTCCTCCGAAGGCTTTCGTTCCACCGGCACCACATTTGCTCAGGCCAATCTACACCCCGTGGCCATTAAAAGTTATTCAAATCATGACGCTGCACCCCACAGTTTAGGTTCTAGGGGGCGCCAAAGATAACCCTAAAATCCACATATTTAAAAGTCTTATAACTTTTTATTTTTGTCCTCACTGGCCTCCAAGTTTTCTAGGATGATGCAATGTCCAGCCATCAACACATTTGTGAAGGAATTTTTACTCCCCAAAAGAGCGCCCCCCCATGGCAGGAGAAAAAAGTCAATTTTTTCTTGTCCCCTAAGGTGGAAATTCACACTATTGACTGTCACGCCTGTACGCTTTATCATATTGACACAAAAATTGACACACATATGTATCTCAATAAGATCTACAAAAAAGTCAATGCGCGCGTATCTGTCAAATGTACAGTTAAAGGGCTATTTTGCATTTTTTGCCGATTCGCACACATTGGAATGTGGCTAACTCCTCCTAAGGCTTTCGTCCCACTGACACCAAATTTGCTCAGGCCAATCTACACCCCATGGCCATTCAAAGTTGTAAAAATCATGACGCTGCACCCCACGGTTTACGTTCTAGGGGGCGCCAAAGATGACCCAAAAATCCACATTCTTAAAGGAATCCACCCCCCCCCCCCCCCCCCCCCAAGGCAGGAGAAAAAGTCAAGTTAACCCTGCCCATCGCTCAATGGCTCAATCGCATCGCTCTCCAGGCAACACCGTAAGGAGGAGCAACCCGCCATTTCGATATATCATAGCTGTGTTTGTGCCCTCACTCATGGTCCAGACTTTTTTCAAATAGGACATGAAGTTTGTCTGCAGCGAGTGTTTTGGTAGAAACTGCGCCTCCCATTCATTATAATGGGAAATGACCACAGACAAGTGCGCACACCATCTTTGGACCTTGAGTGTGACGCGATCGGGAGGGGGAGGCGGTCGCGCTGGGGGCGGCGCGACGCGGCTCGGGCCCGCCAGTGCCCCAACGGGGTCCTAGTTCTTTCTTTCTTTCTTCTTTTTCCTCCCCTTTGAACTGGAAAATGGCCCACTTCCCACTGGCGAAAACTCATGAAATTTGGCAGGACGACCGGGCCTGGTGAAAAATTCGATATTCTGAAGTCGTCCAAACAATAAAATGCAAAATGGCTCCATAGCGCCCCCTAAGGTGGAAATTCACACTATTGACTGTCACGCCTGTACGCTTTGTCATATTGACACAAAAATTGACACACATATGTATCTCAATAAGATCTACAAAAAAGTCAGTGCGGCCGTATCTGTCAAAATTACGGTTAAAGGGTTATTTCGCATTTTTTGCCGATCCGCACACATTGGAATTTCGCTAACTCCTCCGAAGGCTTTCGTTCCACCGGCACCACATTTGCTCAGGCCAATCTACACCCCATGGCCATTAAAAGTTATCAAAATCATGACGCTGCACCCCAAGGTTTAGGTTCTAGGGGGCGCCAAAGATAACACTAAAATCCACATATTTAAAAGTCTTATAACTTTTTATTTTTGTCCTCACTGGCCTCCAAGTTTTCTAGGATGATGCAATGTCCAGCCATCAACACATTTGTGAAGGAATTTTTACTCCCCAAAAGAGCGCCCCCCCATGGCAGGAGAAAAAAGTCAATTTTTTCTTGTCCCCTAAGGTGAAAATACACATTGTTGAGTGTCACGCCTATACGCTTTGTCAAAATGACACAAAAATTGACACACACATGTAACTCAATAAGATCTACGAAAAAGTCAATGCGCGCGTATCTGTCAAATGTACGGTTAAAGGGTTATTCCGCATTTTTTGCCGATCCGCACACATTGGAATGTGGCTAACTCCTCCGAAGGCTTTAGTTCCACCGGCACCACATTTGTTCAGGCCAATCTACACCCCATGGCCATTAAAAGTTATTCAAATCATGACGCTGCACCCCACGGTTTATGTTCTAGGGGGCGCCAAAGATAACCCTAAAATCCACATATTTAAAAGTCTTATAACTTTTTATTTTTGCCCTCACTGGCCTCCAAGTTTTCTAGGATGATGCAATGTCCAGCCATCAACACATTTGTGAAGGAATTTTTACTCCCCAAAAGAGCGCCCCCCCATGGCAGGAGAAAAAAGTCCATTTTTTCTTGTCCCCTAAGGTGAAAATACACATTGTAGAGTGTCACGCCTGTACGCTTTGTCAAAATGACACAAAATTTGACATACACGTGTATTTCAATAAGATCTTCGAAAAAGTCAATAGCCACGTATATGTAAAATGTACAGTTAAAGGGTTATTTCACATTTTTTGCAGATCTGCACACATTGGAATTTGGCTAACTCCTCCTAAGGCTTTCGTCCCACTGACACCAAATTTGCTCAGGCCAATCTACACCCCATGGCCATTCAAAGTTGTAAAAATCATGACGCTGCACCCCACGGTTTACGTTCTAGGGGGCGCCAAAGATGACCCAAATATCCACATTCTTAAAAGAATCCACACCCCCCCCCCCATCCCCCATCCCCCATGGCAGGAGAAACAGTCAAGTTTTTCCTTCCCATCACTCAATGGCTCAATCGCATCACTCTCCCGGCAACACCGTAACGAGGAGCAACTTGCCGTTTGGATATATCCTAGCTGTGTTTGTGCCCTCACTCATGGTCCAGACTTTTTTCAAATAGGACATGTAGTTTGTCTGCAGCGAGTGTTTTGGTAGAAACTGCGCCTCCCATTCATTATAATGGGAAATGACCACAGACAAGTGCGCGCACCATCTTTGGACCTTGAGTGTGACGCGATCGGGAGGGGGAGGCGGTCGCGCTGGGGGCGGCGCAACGCGGCTCGGGCCCGACAGTGCCCCACCGGGGTTCCTAGTTATTATTTTTCCTCCCCTTTGAACTGGAAAATGGCCCACTTCCCACTGGCGAAAACTCATGAAATTTGGCAGGACGACCGGGCCTGGTGAAAAATTCGATATTCTGAAGTCGCCCAAACAATACAATGCAAAATGGCTCCATAGCGCCCCCTAAGGTGAAAAATTCACCTGACGCCTGTACGCTTTGTCAAAATGACACAAAAATTGACACACACATGTATCTCAATAAGATCTACAAAAAAGTCAGTGCGGGCGTATCTGTCAAATGTACGGTTAAAGGGTTATTGCGCATTTTTTGCCGATCCGCACACATTGGAATTTCGCTAACTCCTCCGAAGGCTTTCGTTCCACCGGCACCACATTTGCTCAGGCCAATCTACACCCCATGGCCATTAAAAGTTATTCAAATCATGACGCTGCACCCCATGGTTTAGGTTCTAGGGGGCGCCAAAGATAACCCTAAAATCCACATATTTAAAAGTCTTATAACTTTTTATTTTTGCCCTCACTGGCCTCCAAGTTTTCTAGGATGATGCAATGTCCAGCCATCAACACATTTGTGAAGGAATTTTTACTCCCCAAAATAGCGCCCCCCCATGGCAGGAGAAAAAAGTCCATTTTTTCTTGTCCCATAAGGTGAAAATTCACACTATTGACTGTCACGCCTGTACGCTTTGTCAAAATGACACAAAAATTGACACACACATGTATCTCATTAAGATCTACAAAAAAGTCAGTGCTGGCGTATCTGTCAAATGTACGGTTAAAGGGTTATTGCGCATTTTTTGCCGATCCGCACACATTGGAATTTCGCTAACTCCTCCGAAGGCTTTCGTTCCACCGGCACCACATTTGCTCAGGCCAATCTACACCCCATGGCCATTAAAAGTTATTCAAATCATGACGCTGCACCCCACGGTTTAGGTTCTAGGGGGCGCCAAAGATAACCCTAAAATCCACATATTTAAAAGTCTTATAACTTTTTATTTTTGTCCTCTCTGGCCTCCAAGTTTTCTAGGATGATGCAATGTCCAGCCATCAACACATTTGTGAAGGAATTTTTACTCCCCAAAAGAGCGCCCCCCCATGGCAGGAGAAAAAAGTCCATTTTTTCTTGTCCCATAAGGTGAAAATACACATTGTTGACTGTCATACCTGTATGCTTTGTCATATTGACACAAAATTTGACACACACATGTATCTCAATAAGATCTACGAAAAAGTCAATGCGCGCATATCTGTAAAATGTACGGTTAAAGGGCTATTTTGCATTTTTTGCCGATTAGCACACATTGGAATGTGGCTAACTCCTCCTAAGGCTTTCGTCCCACTGACACCAAATTTGCTCAGGCCAATCTACACCCCATGGCCATTCAAAGTTTTAAAAATCATGACGCTGCACCCCACGGTTTACGTTCTAGGGGGCGCCAAAGATGACCCAAATATCCACATTCTTAAAAGAATCCACATCCCTCCCCCCCCCCCCCCCCCCATCCCCCATCCCCCATCCGCCATCCCCCATGGCAGGAGAAACAGTCAAGTTTTTCCTGCCCATCACTCAATGGCTCAATCGCATCGCTCTCCCAGCAACACCGTAACGAGGAGCAACTTGCCGTTTGGATATATCCTAGCTGTGTTTGTGCCCTCACTCATGGTCCAGACTTTTTTCAAATAGGACATGAAGTTTGTCTGCAGCGAGTGTTTTGGTAGAAACTGCGCCTCCCATTCATTATAATGGGAAATGACCACAGACAAGTGCGCACACCATCTTTGGACCTTGAGTGTGACGCGATCGGGAGGGGGAGGCGGTCACGCTGGGGGCGGCACGACGCGGCTCGGGCCCGACAGTGCCCCACCGGGGCCCTAGTTTCTTCTTTAGGGCCCGAGCGTAGCTGCTAAGCAGCTGCGAGAGCCCTATTATTCCTGATGGATTCTTCTTTCTTCTTCTTCTTCTTATTATTTTTCTGCCCCTTTGAACTGGAAAATGGCCCACTTCCCACTGGTGAAAAGTCATGAAATTTGGCAGGACGACCGGGCCTGGTGAAAAATTCGATATTCTGAAGTCGCCCAAAAAATCAAATGCAAAATGGCTCCATAGCGCCCCCTAAGGTGAAAAATTCACATGATTGAGTGTCACGCCTGTACGCTTTGTCAAAATGACACAAAATTTGACACACACGTGTATCTCAATAAGATCTACAAAAAAGTCAGTGCGGGCGTATCTGTCAAATGTACGGTTAAAGGGCTATTTCGCATTTTTTGCCGATCCGCACACATTGGAATTTCGCTAACTCCTCCGAAGGCTTTCGTTCCACCGGCACCAAATTTGCTCAGGCCAATCTACACCCCATGGCCATTAAAAGTTGTACAAATCATGACGCTGCATCCCACGGTTTACGTTCTAGGGGGCGCCAAAGATAACCCAGAAATCCACATTCTTAAAAGTCGTATAACTTTTTATTTTTGTCCTCACTGGCCTCCAAGTTTTCTAGGATGATGCAATGTCCAGCCATCAACACATTTGTGAAGGAATTTTTACTCCCCAAAAGAGCGCCCCCCCATGGCAGGAGAAAAAAGTCCATTTTTTCTTGTCTCCTAAGGCGAAAATTCACACTATTGACTGTCACGCCTTTACGCTTTGTCATATTGACACAAAAATTGACACACACATGTATCTCAATAAGATCTACAAAAAAGTCAGTGCGGGCGTATCTGTCAAATGTACGGTTAAAGGGTTATTTCGCATTTTTTGCCGATCCGCACACATTGGAATTTCGCTAACTCCTCCTAAATCTTTTGTCCCATCGGCTTCAAATTTGCTCAGGTCAATCTACACCCCATGGCCATTCAAAGTTGTACAACTCATGACGCTGCACCCCACAGTTTACGTTCTAGGGGGCGCCAAAGAGGACCCAAATATCCACATTTTTAAAAGTCTTATAACTTTTTATTTTTGTCCTCACTGGCCTCCAAGTTTTCTAGGATGATGCAATGTCCAGCCATCAACACATTTGTGAAGGAATTTTTTCTCCCCAAAAGAGCGCCCCCCATGGCAGGAGAAAAAGTCAAGTTTTTCCTGCCCATCGCTCAATGGCTCAAACGCATCGCTCTCTCTGCAAAACCGAAAGGAGGAGCAACTTGCCATTTGGATATATACTAGCTGTGTTTGTGCCCTCACTCATGGTCCAGACTTTTTTCAAATAGGACATGTAGTTTGTCTGCAGCGAGCGTTTTGGTAGAAACTGCGCCTCCCATTCATTATAATGGGAAATGACCACAGACAAGTGCGCACACCATCTTTGGACCTTGAGTGTGACGCGATCGGGAGGGGGAGGCGGTCGCGCTGGGGGCGGCGCGACGCGGCTCGGGCCCGACAGTGCCCCACCGGGGCCCTAGTGTTATTATTATTATTATTTTTCCTCCCCTTTGAACTGGAAAATGGCCCACTTCCCACTGGCGAAAACTCATGAAATTTGGCAGGACGACCGGGCCTGGTGAAAAATTTGATATTCCGAAGTCGCCCAAACAAGAAAATGCAAAATGGCTCCATAGCGCCCCCTAAGGTGAAAATTCACACTATTCACTGTCACGCCGGTACGCTTTGTCAAAATGACACAAAAATTGACACACACATGTATCTCAATAAGATCTACAAAAAAGTCAGTGCGGGCGTATCTGTCAAATGTACGGTTAAAGGGTTATTTCGCATTTTTTGCCGATCCGCACACATTGGAATTTCGCTAACTCCTCCGAAGGCTTTCGTTCCACCGGCACCACATTTGCTCAGGCCAATCTACACCCCATGGCCATTAAAAGTTATTCAAATCATGACGCTGCACCCCACGGTTTAGGTTCTAGGGGGCGCCAAAGATAACCCTAAGATCCACATATTTAAAAGTCTTATAACTTTTTATTTTTGTCCTCACTGGCCTCCAAGTTTTCTAGGATGATGCAATGTCCAGCCATCAACACATTTGTGAAGGAATTTTTACTCCCCAAAAGAGCGCCCCCCCATGGCAGGAAAAAAAAGCCAATTTTTTCTTGTCCCCTAAGGTGGAAATTCACACTATTGACTGTCACGCCTGTACGCTTTATCATATTGACACAAAAATTGACACACATATGTATCTCAATAAGATCTACAAAAGAGTCGATTCGCGCGTATCTGTCAAATGTACGGTTAAAGGGCTATTTTGCATTTTTTGCCGATTCGCACACATTGGAATGTGGCTAACTCCTCCTAAGGCTTTCGTCCCACTGACACCAAATTTGCTCAGGCCAATCTACACCCCATGGCCATTCAAAGTTGTAAAAATCATGACGCTGCACCCCACGGTTTACGTTCTAGGGGGCGCCAAAGATGACCCAAAAATCCACATTCTTCAAAGAATCCACATCCCCCCCCCCCCCCATATGGCAGGAGAAAAAGTTAAGTTTTTCCTGCCCATCGCTCAATGGCTCAATCGCATCGCTCTCCAGGCAACACCGTAAGGAGGAGCAACCTGCCATTTCGATATATCATAGCTGTGTTTGTGCCCTCACTCATGGTCCAGACTTTTTTCAAATAGGACATGAAGTTTGTCTGCAGCGAGTGTTTTGGTAGAAACTGCGCCTCCCATTCATTATAATAGGAAATGACCACAGACAAGTGCGCACACCATCTTTGGATCTTGAGTGTGACGCGATCGGGAGGGGGAGGCGGTCGCACTGGGGGCGGCGCGACACGGCTCGGGCCCGACAGTGCCCCAACGGGGTCCTAGTCTTCTTCTTATTATTTTTCTGCCCCTTTGAACTGGAAAATGGCCCACTTCCCACTGGTGAAAACTCATGAAATTTGGCAGGACGACCGGGCCTGGTGAAAAATTCGATATTCTGAAGTCGCCCAAACAATCAAATGCAAAATGGCTCCATAGCGCCCCCTAAGGTGAAAAATTCACATGATTGAGTGTCACACCGGTACGCTTTGTCAAAATGACACAAAATTTGACACACACGTGTATCTCAATAAGATCTACAAAAAAGTCAGCGCGGGCGTATCTGTCAAATGTACGGTTAAAGGGCTATTTCGCATTTTTTGCCGATCCGCACACAGTGGAATTTCGCTAACTCCTCCGAAGGCTTTCGTTCCACCGGCACCACATTTGCTCAGGCCAATCTACACCCCATGGCCATTAAAAGTTGTACAAATCATGACACTGCACCCCACGGTTTACGTTCTAGGGGGCGCCAAAGATAACCCAAAAATCCACATTCTTAAAAGTCTAATAACTTTTTATTTTTGTCCTCACTGGCCTCCAAGTTTTCTAGGATGATGCAATGTCCAGCCATCAACACATTTGTGAAGGAATTTTTACTCCCCAAAAGAGCGCCCCCCCATGGCAGGAGAAAAAAGTCAATTTTTTCTTGTCCCCTAAGGTGAAAATACATATTGTTGAGTGTCACGCCTATACGCTTTGTCATATTGACATAAAATTTGACACACACGTGTATCTCAATAAGATCTACAAAAAAGTCTATGCGCACGTATCTGTCAAATGTACGGTTAAAGGGCTATTTCGCATTTTTTGCGGAACCGCACACATTGGAATTTCGCTAACTCCTCCGAAGGCTTTCGTTCCACCGGCACCAAATTTGCTCAGGCCAATCTACACCCCATGGCCATTAAAAGTTGTACAAATCATGACGCTGCACCCCACGGTTTACGTTCTAGGGGGCGCCAAAGATAACCCAAAAATCCACATTTTTAAAAGTCTTATAACTTTTTATTTTTGTCCTCACTGGCCTCCAAGTTTTCTAGGATGATGCAATGTCCAGCCATCAACACATTTGTGAAGGAATTTTTACTCCCCAAAAGAGCGCCCCCCCATGGCAGGAGAAAAAAGTCCATTTTTTCTTGTCCCATAAGGTGAAAATACACATTGTTGAGTGTCACGCCTGTACGCTTTGTCATATTGAAACAAAATTTGACAATCACGTGTATCTCAATAAGATCTACGAAAAAGTCAATGCGCACGTATCTGTAAAATGTACGGTTAAAGGGCTATTACGCATTTTTGATCGATTCGCACACATTGGAATGTGGCTAACTCCTCCTAAAGCTTTCGTTCCACCGGCACCACATTTGCTCAGGCCAATCTACACCCCATGGCCATTAAAAGTTGTACAAATCATGACGCTGCACCCCACGGTTTACGTTCTAGGGGGCGCCAAAGATAACCCAAAAATCCACATTCTTAAAAGTCTTATAACTTTTCATTTTTGTCCTCACTGGCTTCCAAGTTTTCTAGGATGATGCAATGTCTAGCCATCAACACATTTGTGAAGGAATTTTTACTCCCCAAAAGAGCGCCCCCCCCATGGCAGGAGAAAAAGTCAAGTTTTTCCTGCCCATCGCTCAATGGCTCAAACACATGTCATGTGTTCAAACTCCTCCGAAAGGAGGAGCAACTTGCCATTTGGATATATCCTAGCTGTGTTTGTGCCCTCACTCATGGATCAGACTTTTTTCAAATAGGACATGTAGTTTGTCTGCAGCGAGTGTTTTGGTAGAAACTGCGCCTTCCATTCATTATAATGGGAAATGACCACAGACAAGTGCGCACACCATCTTTGGACCTTGAGTGTGACGCGATCGGGCGGGGGAGGCGGTCGCGCTGGGGGCGGCGCAACGCGGCTCGGGCCCGACAGTGCCCCACCGGGGCCCTAGTTATTTTTCCTCCCCTTTGAACTGGAAAATGGCCCACTTCCCACTGGCGAAAACTCATGAAATTTGGCAGGACGACCGGGCCTGGTGAAAAATTTGATGTTCTGAAGTCGCCCAAACAAGAAAATGCAAAATGGCTCCATAGCGCCCCCTAAGGTGAAAAATTCACCTGACGCCTGTACGCTTTGTCAAAATGACACAAAAATCGACACACACATGTATCTCAATAAGATCTACAAAAAAGTCAGTGCGGGCGTATCTGTCAAATGTACGGTTAAAGGGTTATTGCGCATTTTTTGCCGATCCGCACACATTGGAATTTCGCTAACTCCTCCGAAGGCTTTCGTTCCACCGGCACCACATTTGCTCAGGCCAATCTACACCCCATGGCCATTAAAAGTTATTCAAATCATGACGCTGCACCCCACGGTTTAGGTTCTAGGGGGCGCCAAAGATAACACTAAAATCCACATATTTAAAAGTCTTATAACTTTTTATTTTTGCCCTCACTGGCCTCCAAGTTTTCTAGGATGATGCAATGTCCAGCCATCAACACATTTGTGAAGGAATTTTTACTCCCCAAAAGAGCGCCCCCCCATGGCAGGAGAAAAAAGTCCATTTTTTCTTGTCCCCTAAGGTGAAAATACACATTGTTGAGTGTCACGCCTATACGCTTTGTCAAAATGACACAAAAATTGACACACACATGTAACTCAATAAGATCTACGAAAAAGTCAATGCGCGCGTATCTGTCAAATGTACGGTTAAAGGGTTATTCCGCATTTTTTGCCGATCCGCACACATTGGAATGTGGCTAACTCCTCCGAAGGCTTTAGTTCCACCGGCACCACATTTGTTCAGGCCAATCTACACCCCATGGCCATTAAAAGTTATTCAAATCATGACGCTGCACCCCACGGTTTATGTTCTAGGGGGCGCCAAAGATAACCCTAAAATCCACATATTTAAAAGTCTTATAACTTTTTATTTTTGCCCTCACTGGCCTCCAAGTTTTCTAGGATGATGCAATGTCCAGCCATCAACACATTTGTGAAGGAATTTTTACTCCCCAAAAGAGCGCCCCCCATGGCAGGAGAAAAAAGTCCATTTTTTCTTGTCCCCTAAGGTGAAAATACACATTGTAGAGTGTCACGCCTGTACGCTTTGTCAAAATGACACAAAATTTGACATACACGTGTATTTCAATAAGATCTTCGAAAAAGTCAATAGCCACGTATATGTAAAATGTACAGTTAAAGGGTTATTTCACATTTTTTGCAGATCTGCACACATTGGAATTTGGCTAACTCCTCCTAAGGCTTTCGTCCCACTGACACCAAATTTGCTCAGGCCAATCTACACCCCATGGCCATTCAAAGTTGTAAAAATCATGACGCTGCACCCCACGGTTTACGTTCTAGGGGGCGCCAAAGATGACCCAAATATCCACATTCTTAAAAGAATCCACACCCCCCCCCATCCCCCATCCCCCATGGCAGGAGAAACAGTCAAGTTTTTCCTTCCCATCACTCAATGGCTCAATCGCATCACTCTCCCGGCAACACCGTAACGAGGAGCAACTTGCCGTTTGGATATATCCTAGCTGTGTTTGTGCCCTCACTCATGGTCCAGACTTTTTTCAAATAGGACATGTAGTTTGTCTGCAGCGAGTGTTTTGGTAGAAACTGCGCCTCCCATTCATTATAATGGGAAATGACCACAGACAAGTGCGCGCACCATCTTTGGACCTTGAGTGTGACGCGATCGGGAGGGGGAGGCGGTCGCGCTGGGGGCGGCGCAACGCGGCTCGGGCCCGACAGTGCCCCACCGGGGTTCCTAGTTATTATTTTTCCTCCCCTTTGAACTGGAAAATGGCCCACTTCCCACTGGCGAAAACTCATGAAATTTGGCAGGACGACCGGGCCTGGTGAAAAATTCGATATTCTGAAGTCGCCCAAACAATACAATGCAAAATGGCTCCATAGCGCCCCCTAAGGTGAAAAATTCACCTGACGCCTGTACGCTTTGTCAAAATGACACAAAAATTGACACACACATGTATCTCAATAAGATCTACAAAAAAGTCAGTGCGGGCGTATCTGTCAAATGTACGGTTAAAGGGTTATTGCGCATTTTTTGCCGATCCGCACACATTGGAATTTCGCTAACTCCTCCGAAGGCTTTCGTTCCACCGGCACCACATTTGCTCAGGCCAATCTACACCCCATGGCCATTAAAAGTTATTCAAATCATGACGCTGCACCCCATGGTTTAGGTTCTAGGGGGCGCCAAAGATAACCCTAAAATCCACATATTTAAAAGTCTTATAACTTTTTATTTTTGCCCTCACTGGCCTCCAAGTTTTCTAGGATGATGCAATGTCCAGCCATCAACACATTTGTGAAGGAATTTTTACTCCCCAAAATAGCGCCCCCCCATGGCAGGAGAAAAAAGTCCATTTTTTCTTGTCCCATAAGGTGAAAATTCACACTATTGACTGTCACGCCTGTACGCTTTGTCAAAATGACACAAAAATTGACACACACATGTATCTCATTAAGATCTACAAAAAAGTCAGTGCTGGCGTATCTGTCAAATGTACGGTTAAAGGGTTATTGCGCATTTTTTGCCGATCCGCACACATTGGAATTTCGCTAACTCCTCCGAAGGCTTTCGTTCCACCGGCACCACATTTGCTCAGGCCAATCTACACCCCATGGCCATTAAAAGTTATTCAAATCATGACGCTGCACCCCACGGTTTAGGTTCTAGGGGGCGCCAAAGATAACCCTAAAATCCACATATTTAAAAGTCTTATAACTTTTTATTTTTGTCCTCTCTGGCCTCCAAGTTTTCTAGGATGATGCAATGTCCAGCCATCAACACATTTGTGAAGGAATTTTTACTCCCCAAAAGAGCGCCCCCCCATGGCAGGAGAAAAAAGTCCATTTTTTCTTGTCCCATAAGGTGAAAATACACATTGTTGACTGTCATACCTGTATGCTTTGTCATATTGACACAAAATTTGACACACACATGTATCTCAATAAGATCTACGAAAAAGTCAATGCGCGCATATCTGTAAAATGTACGGTTAAAGGGCTATTTTGCATTTTTTGCCGATTAGCACACATTGGAATGTGGCTAACTCCTCCTAAGGCTTTCGTCCCACTGACACCAAATTTGCTCAGGCCAATCTACACCCCATGGCCATTCAAAGTTTTAAAAATCATGACGCTGCACCCCACGGTTTACGTTCTAGGGGGCGCCAAAGATGACCCAAATATCCACATTCTTAAAAGAATCCACATCCCTCCCCCCCCCCCCCCCCCCATCCCCCATCCCCCATCCGCCATCCCCCATGGCAGGAGAAACAGTCAAGTTTTTCCTGCCCATCACTCAATGGCTCAATCGCATCGCTCTCCCAGCAACACCGTAACGAGGAGCAACTTGCCGTTTGGATATATCCTAGCTGTGTTTGTGCCCTCACTCATGGTCCAGACTTTTTTCAAATAGGACATGAAGTTTGTCTGCAGCGAGTGTTTTGGTAGAAACTGCGCCTCCCATTCATTATAATGGGAAATGACCACAGACAAGTGCGCACACCATCTTTGGACCTTGAGTGTGACGCGATCGGGAGGGGGAGGCGGTCACGCTGGGGGCGGCACGACGCGGCTCGGGCCCGACAGTGCCCCACCGGGGCCCTAGTTAGGGCCCGAGCGTAGCTGCTAAGCAGCTGCGAGAGCCCTCTTGTTCCTGTAGTTTCCTTCTTTTGTTATTATTAGGGCCCGAGCGTAGCTGCTAAGCAGCTGCGAGAGCCCTATTATTCCCCAAGTGGTTTTTCTTTGTTTCTTTTTTCTTTTTCCTCCCCTTTGAACTGGAAAATGGCCCACTTCCCACTGGCGAAAACTCATGAAATTTGGCAGGACGACCGGGCCTGGTGAAAAATTTGATATTCCGAAGTCGCCCAAACAAGAAAATGCAAAATGGCTCCATAGCGCCCCCTAAGGTGAAAATTCACACTATTGACTGTCACGCCTGTACGCTTTGTCAAAATGACACAAAAATTGACACACACATGTATCTCAATAAGATCTACAAAAAAGTCAGTGCGGGCGTATCTGTCAAATGTACGGTTAAAGGGTTATTTCGCATTTTTTGCCGATCCGCACACATTGGAATTTCGCTAACTCCTCCGAAGGCTTTCGTTCCACCGGCACCACATTTGCTCAGGCCAATCTACACCCCATGGCCATTAAAAGTTATTCAAATCATGACGCTGCACCCCACGGTTTAGGTTCTAGGGGGCGCCAAAGATAACCCTAAAATCCACATATTTAAAAGTCTTATAACTTTTTATTTTTGCCCTCACTGGCCTCCAAGTTTTCTAGGATGATGCAATGTCCAGCCATCAACACATTTGTGAAGGAATTTTTACTCCCCAAAAGAGCGCCCCCCCATGGCAGGAGAAAAAAGTCCATTTTTTCTTGTCCCCTAAGGTGAAAATACACATTGTTGAGTGTAACACCTGTACGCTTTGGCAAAATGACACAAAAATTGACACACACATGTATCTCAATAAGATCTACGAAAAAGTCATAGCGCGCGTATCTGTCTAATGTACGGTTAAAGGGTTATTCCGCATTTTTTGCCGATCAGCACACATTGGAATTTCGCTAACTCCTCCGAAGGCTTTCATTCCACCGGTACCACATTTGCTCAGGCCAATCTACACCCCATGGCCATTAAAAGTTATTCAAATCATGACGCTGCATCCCACGGTTTAGGTTCTAGGGGGCGCCAAAGATAACCCTAAAATCCACATATTTAAAAGTCTTATAACTTTTTATTTTTGTCCTCACTGGCCTCCAAGTTTTCTAGGATGATGCAATGTCCAGCCATCAACACATTTGTGAAGGAATTTTTACTCCCCAAAAGAGCGCCCCCCCATGGCAGGAAAAAAAAGCCAATTTTTTCTTGTCCCCTAAGGTGGAAATTCACACTATTGACTGTCACGCCTGTACGCTTTATCATATTGACACAAAAATTGACACACATATGTATCTCAATAAGATCTACAAAAGAGTCGATTTGCGCGTATCTGTCAAATGTACGGTTAAAGGGCTATTTTGCATTTTTTGCCGATTCGCACACATTGGAATGTGGCTAACTCCTCCTAAGGCTTTCGTCCCACTGACACCAAATTTGCTCAGGCCAATCTACACCCCATGGCCATTCAAAGTTGTAAAAATCATGACGCTGTACCCCACGGTTTACGTTCTAGGGGGCGCCAAAGATAACCCAAAAATCCACATTCTTCAAAGAATCCACATCCCCCCCCCCCCCCCCCATATGGCAGGAGAAAAAGTTAAGTTTTTCCTGCCCATCGCTCAATGGCTCAATCGCATCGCTCTCCAGGCAACACCGTAAGGAGGAGCAACCTGCCATTTCGATATATCATAGCTGTGTTTGTGCCCTCACTCATGGTCCAGACTTTTTTCAAATAGGACATGAAGTTTGTCTGCAGCGAGTGTTTTGGTAGAAACTGCGCCTCCCATTCATTATAATAGGAAATGACCACAGACAAGTGCGCACACCATCTTTGGATCTTGAGTGTGACGCGATCGGGAGGGGGAGGCGGTCGCACTGGGGGCGGCGCGACACGGCTCGGGCCCGACAGTGCCCCAACGGGGTCCTAGTTATTATTTTTCCTCCCCTTTGAACTGGAAAATGGCCCACTTCCCACTGGCGAAAACTCATGAAATTTGGCAGGACGACCGGGCCTGGTGAAAAATTTGATATTCCGAAGTCGCCCAAACAAGAAAATGCAAAATGGCTCCATAGCGCCCCCTAAGGTGAAAATTCACACTATTCACTGTCACGCCTGTACGCTTTGTCAAAATGACACAAAAATTGACACACACATGTATCTCAATAAGATCTACAAAAAAGTCAGTGCGGGCGTATCTGTCAAATGTACGGTTAAAGGGTTATTGCGCATTTTTTGCCGATCCGCACACATTGGAATTTCGCTAACTCCTCCGAAGGCTTTCGTTCCACCGGCACCACATTTGCTCAGGCCAATCTACACCCCATGGCCATTAAAAGTTATTCAAATCATGACGCTGCACCCCACGGTTTAGGTTCTAGGGGGCGCCAAAGATAACCCTAAAATCCACATATTTCAAAGTCTTATAACTTTTTATTTTTGCCCTCACTGGCCTCCAAGTTTTCTAGGATGATGCAATGTCCAGCCATCAACACATTTGTGAAGGAATTTTTACTCCCCAAAAGAGCGCCCCCCATGGCAGGAGAAAAAAGTCCATTTTTTCTTGTCCCATAAGGTGAAAATTCACACTATTGACTGTCACGCCTGTACGCTTTGTCAAAATTACACAAAAATTGACACACACATGTATCTCAATAAGATCTACAAAAAAGTCAGTGCTGGCGTATCTGTCAAATGTACGGTTAAAGGGTTATTGCGCATTTTTTGCCGATCCGCACACATTGGAATTTCGCTAACTCCTCCGAAGGCTTTCGTTCCACCGGCACCACATTTGCTCAGGCCAATCTACACCCCATGGCCATTAAAAGTTATTCAAATCATGACGCTGCACCCCACGGTTTAGGTTCTAGGGGGCGCCAAAGATAACCCTAAAATCCACATATTTAAAAGTCTTATAACTTTTTATTTTTGTCCTCTCTGGCCTCCAAGTTTTCTAGGATGATGCAATGTCCAGCCATCAACACATTTGTGAAGGAATTTTTACTCCCCAAAAGAGCGCCCCCCCCATGGCAGGAGAAAAAAGTCCATTTTTTCTTGTCCCCTAAGGTGAAAATACACATTGTTGAGTGTCACGCCTATACGCTTTGTCAAAATGACACAAAAATTGACACACACATGTAACCCAATAAGATCTACGAAAAAGTCAATGCGCGCGTATCTGTCAAATGTACGGTTAAAGGGTTATTCCGCATTTTTTGCCGATCCGCACACATTGGAATGTGGCTAACTCCTCCTAAGGCTTTCGTTCCACCGGCACCACATTTGCTCAGGCCAATCTACACCCCATGGCCATTAAAAGTTATTCAAATCATGACGCTGCACCCCACGGTTTAGGTTCTAGGGGGCGCCAAAGATAACCCTAAAATCCACATATTTCAAAGTCTTATAACTTTTTATTTTTGTCCTCACTGGCCTCCAAGTTTTCTAGGATGATGCAATGTCCAGCCATCAACACATTTGTGAAGGAATTTTTACTCCCCAAAAGAGCGCCCCCCATGGCAGGAGAAAAAAGTCCATTTTTTCTTGTCCCATAAGGTGAGAATACACATTGTTGACTGTCATACCTGTACGCTTTGTCATATTGACACAAAATTTGAGAATCACATGTATCTCAATAAGATCTACGAAAAAGTCAATGCGCGCGTATCTGTAAAATGTACGGTTAAAGGGCTATTTTGCATTTTTTGCCGATTCGCACACATTGGAATGTGGCTAACTCCTCCTAAGGCTTTCATCCCACTGACACCAAATTTGCTCAGGCCAATCTACACCCCATGGCCATTCAGAGTTGTAAAAATCATGACGCTGCACCCCACGGTTTACGTTCTAGGGGGCGCCAAAGATGACCCAAATATCCACATTCTTAAAAGAATCCACATCCCCCCCCCCCCATCCCCCATCCCCCATCCCCCATGGCAGGAGAAACAGTCAAGTTTTTCCTGCCCATCACTCAATGGCTCAATCGCATCGCTCTCCCGGCAACACCGTAACGAGGAGCAACTTGCCGTTTGGATATATCCTAGCTGTGTTTGTGCCCTCACTCATGGATCAGACTTTTTTCAAATAGGACATGTAGTTTGTCTGTAGCGAGTGTTTTGGTAGAAACTGCGCCTCCCATTCATTATAATGGGAAATGACCACAGACAAGTGCGCACACCATCTTTGGACCTTGAGTGTGACGCGATCGGGAGGGGGAGGCGGTCGCGCTGGGGGCGGCGCGACGCGGCTCGGGCCCGACAGTGCCCCACCGGGGCCCTAGTTTCTTCTTCTTCTTCTTATTATTTTTCTGCCCCTTTGAACTGGAAAATGGCCCACTTCCCACTGGTGAAAACTCATGAAATTTGGCAGGACGACCGGGCCTGGTGAAAAATTCGATATTCTGAAGTCGCCCAAACAATCAAATGCAAAATGGCTCCATAGCGCCCCCTAAGGTGAAAAATTCACATGATTGAGTGTCACACCGGTACGCTTTGTCAAAATGACACAAAATTTGACACACACGTGTATCTCAATAAGATCTACAAAAAAGTCAGCGCGGGCGTATCTGTCAAATGTACGGTTAAAGGGCTATTTCGCATTTTTTGCCGATCCGCACACAGTGGAATTTCGCTAACTCCTCCGAAGGCTTTCGTTCCACCGGCACCACATTTGCTCAGGCCAATCTACACCCCATGGCCATTAAAAGTTGTACAAATCATGACACTGCACCCCACGGTTTACGTTCTAGGGGGCGCCAAAGATAACCCAAAAATCCACATTCTTAAAAGTCTAATAACTTTTTATTTTTGTCCTCACTGGCCTCCAAGTTTTCTAGGATGATGCAATGTCCAGCCATCAACACATTTGTGAAGGAATTTTTACTCCCCAAAAGAGCGCCCCCCCATGGCAGGAGAAAAAAGTCAATTTTTTCTTGTCCCCTAAGGTGAAAATACATATTGTTGAGTGTCACGCCTATACGCTTTGTCATATTGACATAAAATTTGACACACACGTGTATCTCAATAAGATCTACAAAAAAGTCTATGCGCACGTATCTGTCAAATGTACGGTTAAAGGGCTATTTCGCATTTTTTGCGGAACCGCACACATTGGAATTTCGCTAACTCCTCCGAAGGCTTTCGTTCCACCGGCACCAAATTTGCTCAGGCCAATCTACACCCCATGGCCATTAAAAGTTGTACAAATCATGACGCTGCACCCCACGGTTTACGTTCTAGGGGGCGCCAAAGATAACCCAAAAATCCACATTTTTAAAAGTCTTATAACTTTTTATTTTTGTCCTCACTGGCCTCCAAGTTTTCTAGGATGATGCAATGTCCAGCCATCAACACATTTGTGAAGGAATTTTTACTCCCCAAAAGAGCGCCCCCCCATGGCAGGAGAAAAAAGTCCATTTTTTCTTGTCCCATAAGGTGAAAATACACATTGTTGAGTGTCACGCCTGTACGCTTTGTCATATTGAAACAAAATTTGACAATCACGTGTATCTCAATAAGATCTACGAAAAAGTCAATGCGCACGTATCTGTAAAATGTACGGTTAAAGGGCTATTACGCATTTTTGATCGATTCGCACACATTGGAATGTGGCTAACTCCTCCTAAAGCTTTCGTTCCACCGGCACCACATTTGCTCAGGCCAATCTACACCCCATGGCCATTAAAAGTTGTACAAATCATGACGCTGCACCCCACGGTTTACGTTCTAGGGGGCGCCAAAGATAACCCAAAAATCCACATTCTTAAAAGTCTTATAACTTTTCATTTTTGTCCTCACTGGCTTCCAAGTTTTCTAGGATGATGCAATGTCTAGCCATCAACACATTTGTGAAGGAATTTTTACTCCCCAAAAGAGCGCCCCCCCCATGGCAGGAGAAAAAGTCAAGTTTTTCCTGCCCATCGCTCAATGGCTCAAACACATGTCATGTGTTCAAACTCCTCCGAAAGGAGGAGCAACTTGCCATTTGGATATATCCTAGCTGTGTTTGTGCCCTCACTCATGGATCAGACTTTTTTCAAATAGGACATGTAGTTTGTCTGCAGCGAGTGTTTTGGTAGAAACTGCGCCTTCCATTCATTATAATGGGAAATGACCACAGACAAGTGCGCACACCATCTTTGGACCTTGAGTGTGACGCGATCGGGCGGGGGAGGCGGTCGCGCTGGGGGCGGCGCAACGCGGCTCGGGCCCGACAGTGCCCCACCGGGGCCCTAGTTATTTTTCCTCCCCTTTGAACTGGAAAATGGCCCACTTCCCACTGGCGAAAACTCATGAAATTTGGCAGGACGACCGGGCCTGGTGAAAAATTTGATATTCCGAAGTCGCCCAAACAAGAAAATGCAAAATGGCTCCATAGCGCCCCCTAAGGTGAAAAATTCACCTGACGCCTGTACGCTTTGTCAAAATGACACAAAAATCGACACACACATGTATCTCAATAAGATCTACAAAAAAGTCAGTGCGGGCGTATCTGTCAAATGTACGGTTAAAGGGTTATTGCGCATTTTTTGCCGATCCGCACACATTGGAATTTCGCTAACTCCTCCGAAGGCTTTCGTTCCACCGGCACCACATTTGCTCAGGCCAATCTACACCCCATGGCCATTAAAAGTTATTCAAATCATGACGCTGCACCCCACGGTTTAGGTTCTAGGGGGCGCCAAAGATAACACTAAAATCCACATATTTCAAAGTCTTATAACTTTTTATTTTTGTCCTCACTGGCCTCCAAGTTTTCTAGGATGATGCAATGTCCAGCCATCAACACATTTGTGAAGGAATTTTTACTCCCCAAAAGAGCGCCCCCCCATGGCAGGAGAAAAAAGTCCATTTTTTCTTGTCCCCTAAGGTGAAAATACACATTGTTGAGTGTCACGCCTGTACGCTTTGTCAAAATGACACAAAAATTGACACACACATGTATCTCAATAAGATCTACAAAAAAGTCAATGGGCGCGTATCTGTTAAATGTACGGTTAAAGGGTTATTCCGCATTTTTTGCCGATTCGCACACATTGGAATTTCGCTAACTCCTCCGAAGGCTTTCGTTCCACCGGCACCACATTTGCTCAGGCCAAATTACACCCCATGGCCATTAAAAGTTATTCAAATCATGACGCTGCACCCCACGGTTTACGTTCTAGGGGGCGCCAAAGATAACCCAAAAATCCAAATTTTTAAAAGTCTTATAACTTTTTATTTTTGTCCTCACTGGCCTCCAAGTTTTCTAGGATGATGCAATGTCCAGCCATCAACACATTTGTGAAGGAATTTTTACTCCCTAAAAGAGCGCCCCCCCATGGCAGGAGAAAAAAGTCCATTTTTTCTTGTCCCCTAAGGTGAAAATACACATTGTTGACTGTCACGCCTGTACGCTTTGGCAAAATGACACAAAAATTGACAATCATGTGTATCTCAATTAGATCTACGAAAAAGTCAAGAGCGCGTATCTGTATAATGTACGGTAAAAGGGCTATTTTGCATTTTTTGCCGATTCGCACATATTGGAATTTCGCTAACTCCTCCTAAGGCTTTCGTCCCACTGACACCAAATTTGCTCAGGCCAATCTACACTCCATGGCCATTCAAAGTTGTAAAAATCATGACGCGGCACCCCACGGTTTACGTTTTAGGGGGCGCCAAAGATGACCCAAATATACATTACAGTAGACAAAGTAGTTTTGCCCACTGAGTGGCGCCAAAGGGACTTGTCTGTGGAGTCTGTGAGTCACTATTGGCCGTTTTTGACTAATTTAGATTTTACCTTTATATTTCCTCTTACAAAATTTTTACCTTGCCTTGCCTGGTATCATTTTCTTCAGCACAACCTCACCTGTGTCAATTTACAGTTATTTTATCATTTTGACATACTATATTTACACATTGGACCCAAATTCACACACAAAACATAAAATCCGAGTGGAAAAAAGTAATGTTTTTACTGTGAAAACCACAAATATGTGTGATGAACTGTTTGTAAAACTTAAACTTCAAATAAAAATTGTAAACTTCAAAACATGCAAATTTTTAACAAAGAACATAGTAATTTACCTCTATTTACATCAAAATGCAGGCAATGGCCCAGGTGTTCTTTGTAAAATTATTTACAAAACACTGTATAGTCTCACAAATGTCACTTTTTATTTATGCCACTACAAAAAAACATGATGTAAATGATGCATGATGTAAAACATGATGTAAAAAATTTGTGTAGATCCTCCTCTATGTCAGTCCATGTGTAATTTTTCCATAATTCTTTGTTTTTTGCAGCATTTTTGTTAGTGTAACTGCAGATTGTGCTGACAGTGTCTATGGCAAAAAAAAAAAAAAAACTGAAAATGCCTCAACATGAACCCCTGGTGGTCTCTGAGGGTGAAACCTGCTAACTGCTGCAGCTCTGTCAGCTTCAGTCTCCCATGCAGAGCTCGGAGCGCATGTGTGGCTTTGCACCCTTAGCAGCGTTGCTAACTCCTCAGTAAGGAAAGCCTGCTTCATGTCAGAGTCTCTAAACTCCAGAAGAAGTCGATAAAAGTCACTTTCTATCTAAAAAAACGTCGTTAGGGGGTCTGAAAAGTCATTGAATCTAACAACAAAGTCGCTAGGTTTGCAACTACGTGTCCCAGACTGCATCCCTGCTGAGAGTCCCTCCCTCCCTTCTCATATTGCAGGAAGAACGTAAGCACCCGCCCCTTGTCAATCAGTCACCATATAATTTTGGATTGGTTGTTGTGGTGAAGTTTTCCACCAAAAGGAGAGATGTTGTGGTGTGTTTTTTTTTTCCTTTGGCAAGCCTTTTCCGCCTGTAAGACCTGTCGCTAATGTCTGCATGCTATGTTTTCCTGTCTCATACAGCGCGATCGAGCGCCGAACGTGATCAAAATAAGCAGAAAACAAGTATCGCGGACATAATTTATCATAACTCTGGTTTTATTTGGCCTATCAACACAATTTAAAAACTGGTATATAGGTTGAGGTCCTCACTTTTGAGATAAGTTGAAACGGAGAGTCAAAGAGGCTCCGTCTTGCAGCTACATCCGGTTAAATATGTCATGTGACTTGAACGCACACACACACACACACACACACACACACACACACACACACACACACACAGACACACACACACACACACACACACACACTCAGAGTCTGGTTTTTAGCACCTGCAAAAACATGCTATTTACATATTTGACAAGAATGCAGAGGCTCCTTTTGCCCCTGAAAAAAATCAAATTTCAAACACAACTTGACTGGTCATTTCTCCAAAAGACAACCATGAAGCTCCATCCAAACCTGAAGCAGGCAGTTGGTGCATGTGTACAGTAACCTGAGGGGAGTGAGGTGACTGCTTCTGAGGAGAACATGAGCAGTGAAGATTCACCTTAGAGCTAGAACAGAGACGTGCACATGATTATACAGGGGCAGGGGCTCAAGTTTTTTCCAGTTGTTTATACAATATGGAAATTAATGTGAAATTAAAAAACAAAGTATTAATAGAAAGGTAATGACTGTCCTGTGTAGGTGACAGTGATATCCAATAGGCTAGGCACTCACGAAGCTGGCTGTGGCAAGTGTAAGTGAAAGCAACATGCACTGGCAGGAAGAACAGCAAACGCCGATGAAGGAAAAGGGTCTTTGCAGTGATGGGCGTTACCAGAGAGGGCGATGGCCAGAGGACACAAATGGGACGGGGAGGCAGCGCGTTGGGGGGGGGACGCGACACAGCTCGGGCCCGCCAGTGCCCCAACGGGGTCCTAGTTTTTTAATTGTTCCTTTTTCTTATTTTGTTAAAAGATATTGATATTTCCAAAATTAAGAAGTTAGGGATTCAACCATTATGACATTGTCCCCCTATAACCCCATTTCCTCCTGGCTGTGGAAATTAAGAGTCAAATTACATTCAGTAGGAGAGGAGTGCCGGCCAAAAATAGCACAAATTCACTAATTACCTGGAGAGTGTGTGTTTTTTTTATGTGTGAGTGTGTGTATGTGGGTTATAATTGTGCAGCTGTGGGTATGTAGGTGTGTGTGTGTGTGTGTGTGACCTCACTAGCCTAGTTGGGTAACTTCCTGACCTTTCTCCAGTGCCTGCAGTGGTTTCTTTGAACCACCAAACTGGCATTTAGTTGTCAACTGGCTCTCAGCCTGTTTGCACTTGTGAGTTTTAGTGTGGAGACAAAAGAAAGTGTGTGACAGTAAGAAAGCAACACAGCACATGTATACAGTAAATGTATATGTGCGTTTGATATGTGTGTGTGCTGTAGATGCAGGAGCAGCTCTGTGGGTCTCTGGTAATCACACATTATTCATGAGCTCTTAATGTGAGACGAGACAAACTGGCGGAGCTGATGACAAGTTTGATGAGAAAGGAGGAAAGGAGCAGCTGGTATGTGTGTATGTGTGTGTCTATGAGTGTGTATGTGTGGGAGAGTGTGTGTGTGTGTTGCTACGTAAGTCATTACCAGTCTGTCATGTTCAGCCCGCACTCACTATGTGATGGGAATGAGCGAAACAGAGCACACACACAGTCACACAAGCAGGGATGCTGTAAGGAGTCATATTAACAAATATACTTGCTAACTTTGCTCACACACACACACATTTTATCCCAGATGGGCCAAATGACTACCATTAAATAAGATATTATTGTGCATTCTTCGCCTTATCTTCCCCTCTTTATCTGATTATGTTAGCTTACTGTACATTTCAGTTTTTCCTAATGAGGCCTCCCCTTTAAATTTTAATCACCCGAATCATCCATCATCCATCTCCTTGTAGAACCATCTAATACTCATTTTTCAACACCCCTGCAACAAGTTCAGTCTTGTCCCAGAAATAAGCCTGATTTCTCAGAAATAGCCTCATTTGAGTGAACATGTAGCATGCTGAATATATCAGACATCCCTACATTTTTCAGCTTATTAATGCATTTGGGTATTTTTCAACTCAGACATGTACTTGTTCAGGATTTGTGCCCATTATTAAAATGCACTTGGAGGAGGAACCTGGCACTTCTGTGAGACGGGTAATCTATCACAATGTGTCTTCTGTGTTTGTCAAACTTACATCAAAATTACAGTCAGGAAATGGTGGCAAAGCCAAAAACAATCCATCAGGGGCATCAGGTATTGGCTTGTGTCATGCATTATAGTTTGCCCTCAGATGAATAGGTTTTAATGATCAGTGAATTGAACTACTTCATGACTGACAGGCAGTCGATCTGCAATAATCACCATCAGCACATCGGTGTCTTGATTTTCAGGATTTGTAGTCATCATAGGTTAATTATCTTCTGTGTGTTGGACTGTTTTTCGAACAAAATGAGACATTTTTGGACTTGGTATTGTGCGATGATATTTTTGGATTTTTATAATTAAGCACACTAATTAATTCCAATGATATTCTGTTAATGATAATTGGTAACGATGCGCTGTGATTCTAAGCCTTGTTCTTGCATTTGATACTAACAATCTGAAATCAGAACTTCCAATTTGGCACTTTAAATGTTAATACTCCTCTTTTTATTGAGCAAGTCTGTCAGTCCACGACCAGCTTATTTTCCAAAAGGTTTTTAATTTTGACTCGTCAGACCGCAGAACAGTTTCCACTTCACTTCGGTCAATCCTCCAGAGGGGGCGGCTGTTTGTCAGAATTTGGTTTGCGTACTGTAAAGTTTCCTCTTCCCATGATGGAGCTGTAACTTGCATTTGTTTAAGCAGCGATGATCTGTGCTGACTGATGATGGTTAATGAAGGGGTTCCTTAGCCCAGGCAGAGATGTCAGCAACAGTCTCATCTAGAAGCCTGCAGATCATGACTGTTCTATGACATTTTGGGGCCTTGCCTCCTGCACACTTTTAGAGTCCATAATCTTTAATTATATTTTAAAAACCATGAGATCCTCATTTTCTTTTCTTGCATTTTTGCTCTCTCTTTCACTAAATAGTGGATCCCTTCCTTACTTCACATCAGGAAGTCTCATCTCCTCTTGAATGCTCTTTTAAAACCCAGTCATGTCACTGACCTACCACCAGTCAACCTCATTAATATGGCTGTGGATTTGTTCAAGTGGTAGAGCAGGTGCCCCCATATACCCTCTTTTGGTCCACTGCAGCTTCTGCATATGGGACAGATGATTCACCAACAAGGCTATGATGGCACCCTATAGGCTTATAGTTTTCTAACAGCAGGTAAATTCCTCTGTTTTGGCATTCGATAAGTTGTCTTTGTGCTACTTATTTATTTTAGAAATTTCAGTGTGGTGCAAGTCCCCTCCTCCTCTGTTTCTTTTCTTGTTTAACACAGCATCACAAATTTTATGAAGAAAAGTATTTACTCAGTATCCGTATCAGATGTCCTTTTTCATTGGCAGACAATTCTTAGCAGCTTCTGGATGTATTACAGCTATTCTAACAGGAACTGTTTGAACATCTTTTCACATTAGTGCTTTCGAGTCTTTGTGAAAGTCTGTAAAGCTGCATTTACTAATTTTTTGTCCATTTTATTTCAACTGCTGTTCAGCACCCACACTGGCCTTTCTAACAGCAGAGATTTAAACACAGAGAAAGCACGGAAGTTTCTTGCTAAAAACCTTTGCGAAAATGGCCTGTGATGAATTGCCAAATGAGTTCTGACGTTGAACATTATGTGTCTGCAGAGCTGAAATGCAAATATGTAACCCTTTAAATATCATCAAAAGTAGAATTGCCATCAAAGGAAAGCATGCGAGCAAACAACATGAGCTTCAATGACTCAAGAGATCCCCTTTCAGCATGAATCTCTGGATTCAAGCTTTTAGCCTGATGAAATATACCTGTTTTCTAATCAAATTCTCCTTAAGATCAAGTATAGCTAGTCTATGGCTATTGTGTCAAATACATTCTATTTCACTGAGTGCGCACAGTGATATTTGTCATTCATGGTCAGTAGGACTTGTTCACCTCCACTGACATGTCCTCACTAATGTGGATAAATCTACCTGTGGAATGTTTTCAGCATCGTAAAATGCTGACTAAGAAGGCACGGAAGGTCGAAAAATAAAAAACGACATGGTTTCAGATTTATCCATATTAGTTCGGACACGGCCCAATTTATAGGCCTGTCAGTATGATAAACAGGCGCTCCTGGTCAAGTTGTTCAAAAATGACCTCTTGTTTCAGGTGAAACAAAGTTGTGCAGCCGAGGGTTTAACACAAACCTCTTTAACGGTGTTAGTCATGCCGGGCAGCATCTTTTATCCCCCCACTACCACCACCACCACCACTACCACTGTTCAATCTAATGTAGAGAAAGGATGCTGTGACAGCCAGCACAACAGCTAGCTGCGCTTTGATTCAGCTCAGATCAGTGCAGTACAAAGGATATTACAACCAGGATTTGTCAGGGGGTAACTTCTTGTGTCTTCGCTTTGATAAGGTGATGCGGCATTAAGAAAACACCATGCGCTGAGTAGTGTTGAAGAAAAACCGTCTCCACACACACATACTCTCACATGCACACACTCCTCTTTCTCTTCAACAAATCCCCTCGTTTTTTCTTAAGAGATCTTGTTTAGTTAGCTTCCCTGTGGAGTGCTGCAGTATGTCTAGATGAGGATTTTGCTCATTACTACTTCATCACCGCTAATTAGTCATCGTGATAGGTCTCTCGGACGTGTCTAAATTCTGGTTCTCATATGTATATTAGGGCTTAATCACCATTGGTGAGTCATTCTTTAAACTCTCATTAACACCTCAAAGGTTTTTTTTTTTCTTGTTCTTGGTGTCAGAAAAGAGGGAGGACAGGAGGAGAGGTGTGGCGATTGAAAGGTGTGTGCAATACGGCGCTGATGCATCACTCCGGTGCTAAACATTCCTTTTATTTTATATGATAAATCCTTCAATCTCTTTTTATCCGTCACCTATTTCCCTTCAGAAACCTTCTCCCGATTGAGTTGTATAGCATCATGCATCAGTATTTTGTGCTGAACACCATTTTGATGTATATTTTTAACAGTAAACAGATGAACGGTCGACTATGCAGCGCAGAGTCAAATAGAGTGCAAATTTTCCCGGCGTGTGTGCATGTGTGTGTACGACTCTGCGCTTGCACCCTGCGTGTTTTCATTGATTCCTCGGGGAGCTGAACAGTGTTTATGGAAATGAGGTGACATTTAAACATATGCCCCCTAACAATTATCTTGAAACAAGTATTTAACTGCACAAAAACACGGCCCTGTGTTTCAGAGTGAGTCAGGCGCTCGGCTACAAATAATACGCCATCATGAGGGGACAGAGGTGAGCTGAGCCAACTGGTTCGCCATTTGGTGCGCCAGTTTGCTCACGGCTGTAAACACGATACTCAGGAATCTTTGAGCACTTTTTAATGATGATCATAATGATTAATGATACAAGCTCGGTATCAAAAGAGCTCCCCGGGGACGATCAAGCTGGTTATAGCAACTTGACATTTATAAAGTTGGACAAATGTCAGAAAGAGAGGGATTAGTCAGATCTGAGTTTAAGATAAAAAGAAATGTTTGAACAGCAGCTATAAGGTAGTTTAGTCTTGTGTCGCCTGGAAAGCTATTTAAAAGTCAGGCCCTTAGTGCTGCAGTCACTCACATTCATAAGGTGTAATCTTAATGCACGTACACACACACACACACACACACTCACACGCACACTCTCACTCACTCGCACTCACATACACACCAGCTCAGCCATCAGGCCCTGGTGGAGCAGTTTGAGAGTGAGCAGGTGAGTGCTGCTGAATACTAAAGTCCTGTATGACTCGACCATTCCTGCTGACCGCTGCAAAGTGCTCCCACTGATCACCGCTAATGTCCTCCATCACAGTTTACACTCAACACTCCAGAGAGAGTGTGTGTGTGTGCTAAAGTGTGTATGTGTGTGTGAGTGTGTGTGTGTTAGGGGAGAAAGGTGGATAATTGGGACAGATGGGTGAGATAGGATGAAGCGAAAGAGGAGGGAGTTGGGGCGAGAGCGAGAGACGGTTGGCATCGATTTTAACACTCTCTCAAGCCTTTATTGACATTTCATTTAGCTAATGAATTCATTAGCGCTTCATAGCATAATAACCTCTACTTGATAACCAGGATGGTTCCCCAGAGGAAAACTCTGCATCTTTCCTCTGTTGCCTCAGTATTTTTCCGACTTCTCCAAACTCATTCTCAGCTTTCTCTGATTTTTCTTTCACTCCCCTCTCTCTATCTCTGTTTTTCCTTCCCCACCACTCGGCAAGTTTCTTACCTGTTTGTTTGAGCTGCATTGTGTAACTTGTAAATGAACCCGTTGTTTGAGGTGACATTACCCCCCCGTTCTGCTCAGCATGTTCTCAGCAATGATGTAAAAAAAAAAAGAGGTAAAGGAAAGTGCAGTGATGTACAGGTGCATTCATCCTTGCCTATGTTTAGGTTGTCTTTGTGCTTCTGCTGGAGTGCAGACACTGGATCCGTGACGCTTGTTCACCTCCTGAGATAGAGATGATCTTTATTCAATTTGAAAACGACAGACTCATTCTTTATTTGTGTCTCTTTGGTTTGCAAACACACACACGCAGCCTCTGACTTGAATGCGTGAATCGAAGGAGCTTTTTAAACTTAACTTTTTCAATCACACAAAGAGGGTTGTCTCAAACAGAGGATGCATTCACAATCCTCCGGTGGAACTACAAGCTCAGATTTAAGATGCTGCTTTATGAATTGGAAGTGTTTATTTATTTGTGTTTGGGTCTGATGCCTGCAAGGTAAAAATCTGCTTCTGTGGCATAACTGACCTGACCTGTATGAAATGTGTGTGGGTGTTTGTGAGCATGTTTGGAAGGTAAAGCACGGGCTGAGTGTTTGGTAATAGACTGTCATTGTATGAACAGCTCAATGGCTGAATTTGTTGATGTCATATTTTCACCATGAGGCATGCCAACATCATAAAAACGCACTTACTGGTATCAGATCTATGTTTTGAGTGACACCGGTAGAAGCATCCAAGTGCACACAAGCAGACACAACAGATGGCCGCCCTCTCATTTTGTATATTACCTCGGGACAGATGTTTGTCTGTGTGGTCATTAGTGATCGCAGCATCAGATAATTACCTGGAGACACGGCAGCACATAAACACACACACACTCACATACAATTAGTGAGTGTTTGATAATTAAGGGATGTTTGATGAACCATCTGGAACAGCGGCTCAGGTAGAATCTGACTGACACACTGCAAACAAAATCATACACATGAAAACCTCGTATTATAACGCTGAATGTTCCGAGGGAGCTACAGTGGATAGTGAGACGACAGGTGAGAGATGAAGTGATGAGAGTGTCCTCGTTAAACAGCCATTAAGATGTCATGTCTCTTTTAAGGGTTGATCTCATCCTTTTTTGTTCTCTTTTTTAAAGCTACAATTTTCTTCTACTGCCTGTCGTCTCCTCCATTCACTTCTCTCCGCTATTCACCATTACCTGTGCTCTCATCCCCCTCTCCCTGGCACTCCTCTTATCTGCCTCTCTCCTTTTGCTTTTCATCTCATCTCATCTCTCTGCAGCCCATTCATTTTTAAGCAGGTCAAGGGTTCAACTGCTAAGGCCTTTAAGTGTGTGTGTGTGTGTGTGTGTGTGTGTGTGTGTGTGTGTGTGTGTGTGTGTGTGTGTGTGTATGTGTGTGTGTGTGTGTGTGTATGTAGGCAATGGAAGTAATATTGCAGTAGCAATAAGACTGAAAAATCCTTGAAGGAATAAAAAAAAGAGGGGGTGTGTTATTTGTTGGTCAGTGTTTTTGTTCTTCAATAACCTCCATTTTTCTCTCCGTTTCTGCTGCTGTTTCACTTTCTCCTCATGGACTCTACTTTTACTCAGGGACAGGTGTGAGGACGCAGTTATTGCTCCATTAACTCTCCATGTATACACCGTGAGCTTGCACGCGCACGTGGGCGTGCACTTTACACACATTTGAACTTAGGTGCTTGAATTCCTGTATATGTGTGTGTGTGTGTGTGTGTGTGTGTGTGTGTGTATGTGTGTGTGTGTGTGTGCGTCTCCAGTACTGACACACAGGACACACACGCCCGGGTTAAGAGCAGCTCAGACAAATTAATTATCTCTTCTCTGGAGGAAAGATGACTCACTGAAAGTGAGGCTGTGAACCAGTGGAAGCCCGGGATTCTCTCTGAGCCTGGGACTCAGGGTTTGCGTTTGCTGAAATAAAGCTTGATCTATGAGATTATAATTTTTTTTTTCACGTTTTATGTGTATGAGGCTGATTTGAAAAAATAAGTGTGTCTGAAAAAAAGTCAAGCACGCACGCTGCATTTATAGATCAAAGTGGCAGAGGGAATTTAAATGTATATGAACAAGCCTCACTTCCCTGAAACTGCTGATATCAGATCAAGGCTTTCATGTTTTGCATAGCTGTGGCTGCGACCAAGACAATCATGCAGACTGCTTTGCACCAGAGCCTGATCAGTAAATCTGGAGTCATTATTCAAAAGCCATTATATAACTTACGCATGGATGGTAATTTATTTTCTTTGAAAATATCATCAATGTGTGCGCTCCCAAGAAAAATTCAGACTTTCTGTCTTGCAGTAACTGTTTGACTCCATTCAGTCAGTGCTGCTAGAGCGTGATCGCAAACGATATTTTAAAACCAGGGCAATGTGGTATCTCAAAGCGAGGCTTTCATGTTTCTGCTGTCTCAGCCACATTCTCTATCCCTCACCTTTCACCTTTGACCTCTGACTGATCGCTTCGGAGAAAATAAAGTGATAAAAGGTCAAAGTTATGGGGTCAAGGTTTCCAGGAAATGAGAGGGTTTTATTGAACTTTTACCTTATTATGTGCTCATATGAGGGAATTTTATACAGAGTAGAATGTGCTAATGCATAAACACATACAGTGAGGAAAACAAAAAGACAGAGTTGGTCAAAAATCTGTGTTTTATTATAAAAACACTGTGTGTGCTTTAATGTGTGTTCACTCTGCTCTCATGTTTATGGATGGCAGCAGATAGGACCTGCTAGGACATTCTGATCGTGCAGGGTCAGTCATGCATCAGTTACAACAAAGCATCAAATTATTTCAGACTTACCTCCACTTGTGGTGCAGGGCCATGATGCACACACAAATAATTGATGTCATTTGCTTCGTCTGGCGTTCACATCAGTTGTGATGGTAAAAGCCGCCACAATTATCCCAAGCAGCCGCATTCCTATGTTTAGCAGATTGGAGATGCCAGGCGGTGGGCTTAACGCGGAGCAGAAATGCTCTGGCCACGCGTTGCCAGGATGGCACCATAACAGTGGTCTGCAAGCAGCCTCGAGCTAGCAGCCATGAGGCCTTGGCCACCTCTTTTACATGGGCAGGGTGCCTGTTTCCTCTGTCTGTTTGTGTTTGTATGTTTGCCGTGATCTTGTTTGCTGGTTTCTGCATGAGTCTGCTATGGGGCCGTCTTACCCTTGCTGTGAGGTATATTCTTACCCTGTGGTACGGGATTAGTCACTAGCCTGAATGGGAAGACATGGAAACAGCGGGAGGGGAGGAGAATAGAGGGAGAGGATGAGAGGATGAGAAGAGACGAAAGGAGGGGAAACCCCCACAAAGATGAGAAGAAATCTGTGGGTGGATTGTGCGAGTGCATGTGTGCCTGCCTGCCTGCCTGCCTGCCTGCTGCCTGCCATGGGTATTCATCAATTTCCCTAAGATTCTCCACTTTTTCTCTGCCATAAAGCCCGGAGGCAAGAAGTAAACAGAAACTCTGTAAGATCTGCTTCTCCTTGCCTCCTTTTGTTTCTTTTTTTGTCATCTGTTTCCTCTCCACATGAGAAGTTAGCCTCTCATGTTTGCATGTGTGATTTCTTGGATTACATATGCAGAACATCCAACATGAAAGAGACATAATGAGAGGGATCTGTAGGATGGGGTTTATACTTTCGACTACATCTCTGAACGATCAGGTGTTGCTGCTGCACTTGATTAATGAAAGATTAATGTTTTGTTTTTTTAAAGCTTGTTAAAAAAAAAAAAAGAGTGCACTGCACATTAAAAACAATGTCAAATTGCATGAACTTTGTGCATGTGGCCGGAAGTGTGTGTGCTTGAGTGTGTGTTTGTGTTACTTTGCAAGTGTGTGAAAAACAGCAGCGTGTGATTTATGCAAATGAGTGTCGTCGGCCGAGGAGGAGGCAGAATTCCCAGGCCTGATGAGTGGCTTAATGATTCATCAGCCTGGCTCAGGCAGGCATCAATAATGGATGACAGAGTGGGTCATGCAGGATTGCTCGCCCCTTGATTAAAGTGCTCCAAAGCTAAACGCCTCACTTCCTTCTTTCCTCCATCTTCTCACCCTACTTTGTGCAAGGGTAAATACAGAAATATAGCATACATGCACATCCCCACACGCACACAGACATACTGGTGCACATGGTCTTATATTTCTTCTCTTCATCCCTCTTCATACAGCTTTATGTCATCTCACCTCTCACACACTTAATAAGCTCTCATTCCTTCTTCATCTCCTCACTCGGCTTCTTTGGTCTTAATCCAATCATGGCTAGTGAAAGAAGGAAAGAAAGAGGAGAAGAGAGAGAGAGAGCGCAGGAGAGGAGTGAAAGAAGAGGATGTAATATCGTAGGAGAAAGAAGGCCACAAATGAATGCTTTTTGTCCATACAGAAATGGAACCTTTCTCTCAGGAGAGAAAACAAGAACACAAATGTTCTTTCTCACACAGAGCGAGGGGAGTCGTTTTCTCCCTCTCTCTCTCTCTCTTTCTCTATCTTTTTAAGCTGTATGTGGGTGTTGGTGTGACAGGACAAATCTCTGTCTATTAGGAGACATAAACCTCTAAACCCTTAGCTACACGGTCATACATACTAATGCAGCGGTACACAGGGGTGGATAGAAGTTGGGAACGATAGCGAGGACACATGAAGAAAGAAGGAGAGCAGAGAGATGGAAGGATGTTGAAAGCAGAGGGAGTCCTGGCGGGATTTCAATCCCCTTGGCCAGCACAGGGTCTTAACTGCTACACAATCTTTGAGCACGGCAAAACCAGCTTTACTAAAGTCGGACTGATGTTTACCACAGAGTTTGTCTGTCTGCATGTGTGTCCAGTGTGCACGTGTTACTTTGTGAGAACAAGCTGTTCATCTCAGCATCTGCGGTGTCATTAGCTGTCCATTCACTTGCACTTTAATGTGCCAGAAAGAAGATCACACGCTCTTTAATGGACACACTTGTGTTAGCTTCCCTGATGGCACAGATGAACCCAAGAGTGAAACACGGACACCAGAAAAAAAAAAAGCTCAAACCCCACTTTTGAGTTTTGAAAGAAAGTGCAATCATAAATGTCTGAAAGGGAGCAATCATTCCTCAATTTAGTAACAGCATCACACACACCCCCCACACACCCTTCATCCTCGAGTTGGCAAGACTTAGACAAGCGTTAAGAAAGTAGCGTGTAATCTGCGATTGTATTAATCCTGTTCTTTAAATCTGTCACTTCCCAAACTGATTACCTTCATCTTCTTAACTTGTCTTTCACTAATCTGTATCATCACTCTGGCAGATTACAGTCCCAGTTTGATCACTTAGACAGATAGAGACACAATCCTCTTTGATGCAGTCAATCAGACACCTTGTCTGCAGAGGCGTGTCAAGACTTTTTTTTTTTTTTCGATTGCATTTGCATGTTGTATGGGTGAGAGCAAGTGCTGCTCATTTACCATTTATATTATAAGCAGCACTTGCGCAGCACTTTTCTAGTCTTTCACCCACTCGTATCACTTTTTGCACTACATGTTACCCACTGCCTATCACACACTGATGGCAAAGGCTGTGTAAAGTGCCCATCATGATACACTAATCCCAACTACAAGCCGGAGATACTGTGTGAACTGCGGGAGCTGATAGACGTTATCTTCTAGAAGCTAACAGAAGCCTGTAACATAGCTAAGCAATCAATCAGTCTTTGTTTGTACGGCACTAATTCACCAAAATATTGTCTCAAGACCCTCTACAAAGTGACCTCTACCTTTTGAAATGGTCCTGCTTATTCAGACAGACTGATTGGTCTCTGTTACTCTTTTTTTTTTTTTTTTTTACTGTTAAAAAAAAAAATCACAAATCAGCTGTTTGGATTACATCAGACAGGGCTTGACAGTGCGTTTTGTGCCTTTCACCCACATTCGCAACTAAAAAATAGTTGTGTACAAATTGTGAAATGTATTTAGGGGCACAGGTGCGCATATAAAAAATCGGCCGAGGCAACAGATGCGTTTTCATGTTAGTTTTAGGTTGGATATTCAACGGACATTCACTGCGGATCTACCGGTGTCTTCTAACTCTCCATAATCAGAAACAGCAACAGCAGCACAGTTAAATTTACTCGGCCGCCTTGCTGTCAATGTCGGATAAGGGACCGTCAATAAATTACCGATTGATGTTCTCAGAAAAGGTTGTTTTTCTTCAATAGCTTCCATGTCATACGATCAATTGACCTAAAATTGAGCTCAAATAATAGTATTTATATCGACCAATAAGACACACATTATTGGATCAGTTTTCATTGTGCCCCTAATGTTCCTTGTGTGCTCTTTACTTTTCTACTTAGGATCACATGTGCTCCTTGGGAAAAAAGTCAGTGTCAAGCCCTGATCAGGGATAGGAGTTTTGCAAAACCAGAGGTGTGGTTGATTTGACAGACAGGTGGGCATATTGTAGCTGTCTGCGGGACTCACTTCTTTGCCAGTTTCTGGTTTTGTTGGAGTTTGGTTAGAGTGAGCGTTTCAGCTTCAGTGTGTGTGTGTGTGTGTGTGTGTGTGTGTGTGTGTGTGTGTGTGTTCTTATACCAGGGACACACTGTACAGTAGTTCATCCATGCACAGTTTTTCAGTTATGTATGTAATTTAAATGTCAGGAGTGTATGGTCCATATAATTCCATTTTTCTTCCAGCTGGGAGAGAAAAGCACTTAAATACTTGAGATGACATTTAGCGAGAAAAAGAAGAGAGAAGCCTCAGTAAGAAGCACGCAGATGGAGGGACACGTAACTGACAAGTACTTTTTAATGCATTAAAGCGAGAAACAGATATGGGAGAAGAACTGCGAGAAGTTCCTAAAATATTGTACGAAGAGTACAAGAGTAGACAAGATCAGAATGAATGAGAGGTGGAGTGATGGCTGAGGAGTGGGTGAAAGGATAATAGAGGACCATATCCAAGCAACCAGGCACTCCAAGTCTTTTCTATGTAATTTTGTCTCCTGGCACAAGCATAAAAAAAAAATTTAAAAAAACGTGGGATGCAAAACAAACATACTGCAGAAAAGACGTAGTGTAATTGCACTTACACGTATGCAGGAAATTGAAGATAGTTCCTTTGATCTCTCTGTGACATGAGCTAAGAGGAAAGAGAAGGAAACCTCAGGCTTTACAAAAAAAAAAAGAAAAAGAAGAAAAAAAATCCAAGTCTCTAAAGAGCACATTGAGTAGGTGGTAGGATCATAAAATTACATTAGCAGACAGGGGAGACCACAGTTTGAGGAGCGCTCATGAATTTTAAGAATTCATAGGCATGTTTTTATGCTTCTGTCCTGATCCAACTCAACCCAAGTTTTATCCACAAAGCAGCTGAAAAGCAACTTTAGGTCATGTTTGTTCAAGTGGAGAAAATGTTTTAAGAAGTCCTCTGTGTGTGTGTATGTGTGTGTGTTAAGCATTGCGCTGGTGAATCAGTTTAACTTGTGTTGCACAAACAAGAAGCAGAGCTCTCACATTGTGCTTAGGATGACACCATAGCAGGAAGATTGAGAGTTGAGAGGGAGGGTGTTGAAAAGGGTATGGATTTCAAATGTGGTCCCCGTAGGATTGATCACTGAAACAGTGTGTAAATAACTACATGGAACTAAGACAGCCCTGTTGAATAGAGGAGAGAGAGAGGGAGATGGAGAGAATGAGAGGAGAGGAAGCCTCTCTGGCCTTGATTGTGATAGACAGGGAATTAAATTCTGATTGTGCGCTGAGTGATCGTTCGGTTAGGCCTTGCGACAAATCAGAGATTTACGGCTTTAGCAGGAGAGCAGTGCAATTTGTCCACGCAACAGGCCTCCTGCTGTTGTTCAACATAAACACAGTACAGTTATTTTGAGTCTGTTAACCACTGGTGCCTTGTTATTTTTCACCTTCTTTTATAGATGGATGTGATATGTCACACATTATATAAGGATGTTTCCCTGTGGCTCTTTCTCCCTTTACAACAGGCTAAGGTCTTTGTCAGTCTGTTAATCTATTTGCAGCGTAGTTGCCTACAGAAGTGTTTAAAGCCCATTTATTTTTACATGTGCGGCATTGTTTATTTACAGGAAACAAGGCATAAAGGCAGCACTTACTGCACTCTCAAGCATTTAGATGTGACATACTTTCTGTGTCTTTTATGCACTCTGGCAGATAAGATTTTTTTTTTTTTAAAAAGGCTGCAAGGTTCAATCGCAGTTTTTCAGCTTGAATGTGAGTGAGTGTTCGCATTCATTCTGAGAGAAAAATATAAAACTTTAGGATCTGTATTTGAGAATAAGGCAAATTCTAAGAAACGCAAAGATCCTCAACTTGGAGATGAGTTATTTAAGTTTTTTCAGATGAAAGAGTGAGAATAACTACTAGATGACTGATTGTGTCACAAAAGGTCCTGACAAAATAAGTACAGAAGCAATGAGTGAGAGCCTAAAATCTGAAATTCCTTAGCCTGAGCCTGCAGGTGAGTGCTAAAGTGCAGCACTGGTTCAGAGCAGTGGATTCGATAACAGAGGGTTAGACAGGAAATGTTGCAGCTTACATTGACTGCCCAATTTGAGGCTCTGTTTGTCAGATGATTGGGAGAATTACATGTCAAGTGTCAGCGCTGCCTGCCTGACCGAGCTTCCTTTTCTTCATCTGAATTGGATTTGAATGCCTCGAAGCGAAATGGGCCCGGGCTTCACTTATCATGACGAGCATTGCAAGGTTTGTAATATTTATACAATGTCTTGAATTGAGAGAAACAAAGAGAGCTTTTTAAGTGTTTTAAAATGACAGTGATGTTGTCAAGGTCGCTCCTGGACAAGTTGATGTACAGAACAAAGAGGATCTAACAGAAGCATTTGCCTCTGCTTTATCAGCAAAGTAAGAATTTCTTCTAAGTGTTTCTTGCATATACAGTTTCATGGTTGTGCAATGACCTATATAAAATATGACCCAGCAATAGTGGATGACATGTTGAAAATGTTGATTCAATTTAACCTTTAATCAAAAATGAGCTTTTGAACTCTGGACCTAGTGAGATCTCCGTGGCCTTGCAGCAGTCTCAAGTGTTTCTCAGTGGTCTATAAATTATGATTATTAAGATCTTAGCCAAAATCACAAAACCTGTGGCTGGTTCAAGGGCTTTTCTTCTGCAGAGCTCCAGTAGCTCATTACAAACCCCACAGGTACCGTTTTCTCTACTTCTCAATGTCTGGCTTGCAGAGCGGGGCACAGGGGGCGGAGCTAGTGGCTCATCCATGGACTTAGAAAATGTGACGTAAAAAATCCCACTGTGTCTGAACCTGCTGTTTGGGTCTGCCGGGGGTTCACCGTAGAGATGCACCGCTCATTTTTTTCTGATCCAATCTGATACCGATACTATTGGCCGATATCCAACACTGATCCAATACTACAGTTGAATGAATGAACTGTATACCTTGGCCTGTGAGTGAGGGCAGATATGAATTTACTTAATATTATTTATTAACAAATAACAAATTGCACATTAGCACACAGCAAAAAGAAGTAAGACTTCCATGTAATTATTTAGTGCAAAAGGATAGACAGACTTAGAATATAGACCAAACTGAATCACTGTGTTTCTGTATATGATATTAATTAAAAGAAAAAAAAAAAGGCTGGTTCGGAATGCTGGATCGGTGTCATTCATCAGATATCCGATCCAGTTAATTTTTAAATATCCAAGCTAATGTCTGATCCAAATATCGGAAAGGTGCATCCCTAGTTCACTGCAGAAATACTCAGAAATGCAACTTTGCCCTGAGTTTTCTCATGATTTGCCCTTTAGCATCAGAAAAATGCCAGATGATCATACAGACAACAAGAAAAACAAGATTTCCATCGGAGTGGGTCTTTAAATCATCTTGCTGTATAGTTACATAAGGGGGTTGTAGGACCCATGGACTCAAAATAAGAAAGGACATGTTGGCTTCTGCTGTACAAGTCATGAAACTCATTTTAAAATCTTGTTTTCCAGTGGGTTTCTCAATTTCTTCTAAGTGCAATACTACATCACTTCCCCCTCTACAGATGGAAGCTGGCACTTTAAATGATGGTCACTGTTCCACTCCAAATGCCAAAAGCTTGAGTAGGGAGCTAACATAATAAAAAGAAAAGCTATTTTAATGCAGAGAGATAGCTATAGACCATCTTAGTTCCCCTTGGGGCTAAAGTTCAAATTGAACTCGACATGAGATTAAATGTAAAATAAACATCTGTTCCAGGACTGTCAGTTGAAGGATAAATCCCAGGGAAAAGTGCTCCATTTCAACTAGGCAACAAAAAGCTCAGGGCAAATTAGCAAATCTAATGTCTTCATTATTTATTTATTCTGTTTGTTACCTGCATGCTACTTCATTTTTAAAGGTCACAGAGAGATGGAACATTTTGTTATGTTTTGAACAAAACACAAGAACGAGAACAAGAGTTTGACAAACAACGGTGAATCACGCTGTTGAGGCTGCTGCTCAAGATAATGTACAGCTCTTACAGAAACACAGTGAGTCAGGACCCACTTGTTTCTGGATCATAGGAGTGCACTTTGTACCACCATGTATTTTTGTTTTCTGACTCATTTTAGCTTGTTTGGTGTTTCCTCTGCAGAGCTGGTTTCTGACTGTGTATGAGATGACATAGCTCGCTGGTGGTAACACATCTGTGCTATTGGCTGTGTGGAAATCATAACAACTGTATCTGTGGTCAACACAGCTGTGGCTTCGGCCACAATAGTTCCATGTACTTATTAAAAGCTGCATTTTTGTCCGGCTTAAATGATCTGGAGCAAACAAAGATCTCCAAACACGATCAGATGGCTTCACATTGCTTGGACCTGCACACACGCACATCAGATGAATAAATGGGTGTGAGTTGGCCGTGGAGAGATATTAAAGTCAGTCAGGGGAGATGCATTAGGGCTGCAAATGTCACCTCATTAACACTCAGATATCAGGTTTGGCAGCCTGTCTTCATGTGTGTGTGCATGTGTGCGAAAGCGTGTCTGAAGCTGAGATCTGCGGGTCATTACAGTAACAAGCATCTTAGCCCTCAGGTCAGCTGTCGTTAGCTACAGAAGAATGGCCAGAAATCATCAGACTGTCACACTGCCAGACTTTCTCCTCTCGTGTATGTGTGAGCACACGTGTGTCAAACAGACAAAATCACAGGAGCACTTCAGAGACCGGTAGAGAAGAAACAGACATCACATACGTGTAAATAGATAGAGACTGGGGGACAGAGCTGGAGGCAAACAGATTAACAGAGTGTGTTTTTTTTAGCACGAATGGAATTGTTTCTATTCATTAAATTGGCCAAGTTGTAGTGATAATTATAGCAGAAGATAATTAAAGGCTTAATTGGGCTTGATAAACAGTCAGGAATTGCTTATTGAATTGTTCTCAGAAGGCACAGTAGCAATTAGAAGTTCTCTAAATTCATAAACGTCTACAATTTATTGTTTGTCCCCACGTTACTACCTCCTTATCCTCCCCACCCTGATGTTTCCTTTCTTTTCTCTCCTGCTGAATGCACCAAGGCTTTTCATGCCTTGCAACATGTGGTTCTTAGCAATCTGAACACAAGTGACACGCTTTAAGGAGGAGTCTCCACACCCTGCATCTACTATGGCTCTCAAGGGACTACTTGTGATCTGATCCCACTTTCCCACTGCAACTGCAAATTAAAGCTGCAAGCTGCAATGAACGAGCCCTCACATCTCTGTGCATGCCAAGGTTTATCAGGGAACGACTGTTTTGTATGTAAAGATGTGATACATTAGCCTGTAAATGCACATCTTTGTAAGTATATGGTGGTGCAGTAGTTGGATTTGTGAAAATTTGTGGCAGTGGTAAATTGAGGCTTAAAGTCGCACCCACTTTCCACACCTATATTAAATGTTTTAAGGCTCCGATGGGAACCTGTTAGCCACAACTGGTGACTCTACATATGATTTAACCCCCTTAAGAAAATACCTCTTGTTTAAAAGTGAATTATGCATCACTAGGTAACAGTGTTTGTTGTAGAGTTACATGAATTCGAGGGCAGTGGGGTGCACCAGAAGCATGTTGAAGAAATTTCAGCCAACGAGACAGGATTTGACTATGTTAATGCGGGAGTAGTAACTTCCTGTTGCCAGCAGGTGGCATTGCTTTTCTTGGAAATTTTTGAAGGTTGGTAATGTTTAGGGTGGGACTCTTTATGAGAACAGGTAATGTTGTGCAGATATGTTAATCAAAGGAGGGTTTGACTGAGAAATTATGCAAATTAAGTTGATGACATCATCTAGCGACTTCTCGGAGTTGGCAACGCTGGCCTCATACCATTGTTTTGCCCTTCTCATGTTATTCACAGCATGTGGAGGCATCAGTTATGTATGATAGTTTAAGGGTGTACACGAAAAAACAGCACAGAGACAAAGCATGAAAAGTAGAAAGACCGGAGAAATATCAACCTGCTGCCTGTCATCAACATAAAACACTGAAACAAACTAATTGACCACATCGGTTACGTCCTCTTTTTCTCTACTCCTCCTCCTTCAGCATGAATGAAATGCAGTTTTTTTCTTTAAATTAATACAGACATCACCACCCTGCTTTTTGTTTTCACTTAATTTTTTGTACACATTTACACACAGCTGTAATGTACAGAATTTAACTTTAACCCTTACATGTTGGAGTGACGAGAAAAATCCAAGTACTTTTCATTAGCCTATGAGACACAGAGGAGAAATATTAAATCAGTCATTTTCAAAATGATCTATTGTTACAAACACAATCAAGCAGACAAGGAGCTCTTGATTTGATATGGTTTTAAGATGCCTTTACAGGGGATTTTTGTTCATGTGTTGTTGCTGTAGGATCTGTTATTTTCAGGTGTTTTTGAGAACTAAGCCACAGTAGGAAGGCCCACCATGCTGGTATTAGTTTTTATCTGTTAAAAGCTCATAAATGCAGCTGCCTGGTTGAAAATTAAAGTTTTGATTAAAATTTGTTTTGTAAGTTTAATAGAAAGCTTTGTGGGAATATTGACAATGGTGTCATTTTAAACAACAAAAGGTTAAATCTTCATTTTTTTACCATGTTAATTGTGTGAAGCAACACAGCAAAACATATTCTGCAATAGTAGCTAACTATAGGACATATCGTCCAGCACTACTATATAACTATTCAGTCAGAGACAGAAAATTATTTCCCTCGTTGATACCATACTTTGGGAGATCAAACACATTGTGAAACAAGCAGGTGGCAACAATAATTTTGTGAAATCTTTCCTTAGACTCTTCAAATATTTGTTTTCAGAAAGCAATCCTGTAACATCTCTGAAACACAGAAATGTATTATCTTCCTCCTACTCCTGCTTTACTCTTCAATGTCCTTACATTTCTCATTGATATCAAACAGTAGAAATTCAGGCATTACGCAAACTGACATGAAGGCAGGAGAGCTGTGAGTTAGTTTATATGACATGCCAAATTTAGTCAGTAATCAACATATTCATGGGTTTCATAGCAACATGATGCAATTACTGTAAAGTGTTAGCAGCTCTGTAATTTCTGAGACAACGTTCCATAGAAAAGTGAGCCATATTCACGGTCTTTTCTTCCCCTGCAGAGCAAGCTCACTTTAGTTGAAGCGAATATATTTGAACAGAGAAAGTCTGTTACTGCGATTAATCTCACCACTGGGCTCTCTTCCTCTTACTATGCGCATTTTATTATGCATGCTGAATGTTATTATGGCCTAATTTTTTGTTACTTTGGATATGATCTGAATTTGATGCTGAACCAAGTTTGCTATTAAAACTGATATTGCAGTCCTGGTAACAATTATCACATCTGATCAGTTTCACCCCAGCGTGTCCAAGCCAGCATGGTTGATAAATCTAAGGAGGCATGAATTATAATGCTGCTAGAGATAATACCCAAGTGCTCATGAGTCACATTTAGTTTTTCACAGATACTGATAAAAGATGAAAAAGAGGAGAGCTACAAGAGGAAGGAGGGAGGGAAAGCCAAACATGCTTGATTTATTTCCTCACATAAGTTTAAGAATAACTTAATAAAAGGATTCATTTGGATATATAGGTGAAATTTTAATAATTTGTGTAGCAGAAGCCAGGTTAATTTATGCTCTTTCTGTCAGACCAAATTGTTTTTTTTCTCCCATGATGAGACCCCATTTGCTTGATAGTTCTCCCTTATATATCCCTCATCCATCTATCCCATTTCTTTAATGATAAATACATCCAATCTAGCAAGCATACTGCTCTCATAATGCTGTATCAGAGTGCCTGTACGGTAAAGTCTACAGGCGTCAGAAGTCCTCCCTCACACTCGCTCTAGGTTGAGTCCAGCCAGCCATGAAAATGCTGTTCAATATTTAATTACAGCCAGCCAGAAGGTGACCAGTGAGACAAGTGGAACTGTTTAGCTCAAGTACAGTAAAAGTGGCTGAACTCTATTTTTATGTAATTGCTGTAATCATAATAAATGACGTGAAAATTGAACAACAATTAACATAATCAACTTACCATACATAGTTTATTTGTTGACTTTGAACTGAGAGCTGCATTCATTCACATAAAATTTAAGCAAAGTAAAGCCTTTTTTTTTTACTGTGTTTCTACAAGATTTGTTCTTGTTTATATCACAAAACTTCTTTTAACAGCAAGCTCCTGTTGGAATGAAATGCTGTGACCACTTGGGTTTGAATGGGAGTCAAATATGCACACTTTGCCAAAATATGAGAGATGAGTCTTTTCTTTAAAAGGAGGGATTAAGAGAGATGGAAACTATTTTAAGTTCTGTGTGCTTCATATTTTTAAGAGGGATTTGTGTTGATTTTGACAACCCCTTAGGTCCAGGTGTTTGCTACGGAGGCTATTTTGGCAAGTTGTCACTTTGTCTAACACCTACCCAGCAGCAGTGGTTCTATGTTAATCTATGACATTCACACTCTAATTAAGGCATTTCTGATGTTATTGATGGGCAGCTTTTTTTCATTTAAGCCGGGAATACATTATATGATAGTCCTGGCAATTTTGGGCCCAATTGCCCCTTTCAACTAAAGTCAACAAAAGCCCAATTGTTAGAAAATTTGAAATACTTACCTGCCAGATTACCCTTTGAGGACGATCATGCTTGCCCAACTCAAAATTGTAACTATGGGGGGGGGGGTGTCAAAACATGGTAAAAACATGTTTATACTATGTGTTCGCAAAACATACTGATACTGAATTGAAAAGGAAAGAAGTTGGAAAGAAATTCATACTGCACTGAATGCAGTGGAAGTATCAGGAGGATAAGCAGCAGTTCAACAGAGTTGTGTTTGACCATGAGAGACTTTATGAGATTTCCAGTTGAGAATCAGGACTTCAGTTGCTGGGGTGAAAATAGCCTGAAAGACCCACTCCAACAAAAACATGTTTTCTTGTTGTCTACATGTTCGGTTGGCATTTTTCTGATGCTAGAGGACGTATCATGAGAACACGAAGTACAAAATTGCATTTCTGAGTATTTCTGCATTTAACTCGCTGTGACCCACTGGCAGGCCAGACTTTGAGAAGTAGAGATGACAATTGCGGAACAAATATGTGTGGTAGTGGATTGCAATGCTTGTAAGAAAGATAATTATGATATTAGTTTTCATAATGCCCCCAAAGACATTAGTTGAATAGCTCCTGTATTACCTGCCACTTCTGCTGCACCAGCAATGTAAAACTACAAGCTAGCACTAAGAGGAGTGTACAGAGCAGCGCTGTCTCCACCCACGACTCAGAGGTGAATTGCTAATGAGCTACTGGAGCTCTGCAGAGGAAAATCCCTCGAAAATGACACAGGTAATTTTGGCTAAAAACTTCATGATCACAACTTAAAGACCGTTAATAACACTTAAACAGTAAAAAAAAAACTGAAATGGGACTTTAAAGGGTGTGGTTTGCTGTGTTTATCACACTGACACCACACACTACAGAAACAAATAGTTAAATCTGTCATCATTTGTTGTTATGTTGGGGTCTCTATCCTTTTCTAAATCATCCAAGGTTTTAAATCCCTTTCAGTGTGTGCCAGGACTTATTGATGTTGATACACCTACATTTTGGAATATTTATATTGGTCTCCAGTTCTTTGATAGTGTGTTATTTGATCAGATACACAAAGGGAGTCCAATGAGACAGTGTGGTTAAATCTGGATGCTAGCATTAGCAAACAGCAGCCCAAGAAAACCCAGCATATGAAACACTTAATGCAGCTGACCAATGGTTATCACACCATCTATGGTCTGTTGTTTTGAAGACTACGACCTTACTGTGCTCTTGGGAGTGATGGCTCTCATGACATGGTAATACATTTGAGTTTTGCTACAAGACACTCAGGGGACAAGACTCTGCAGGCTGCATGCCAAATGGTAGCAGACAAAGTTGTACTTAATTGTTTTAAGCCTAAATGTGCTGTCCGGGACTTGGATCACAGCCTTTGAAGTAGGATGAAGCTCAGATTGGATGGTCTTGTACAGGAGTGTGCACACTCACATCTCATGTTTTTACTCTCTTAAATTCCGAACTCTTACTTAGTGAGAAAGTGAGTGTAGCGTTAGTCCAGGCCAACCACAATGTCAAGCTCAGCTCCATCCCAGTCAATTACCCTCACTGCATCTAATCAATAAACGTCAAAATGGATGTTCAACGTAAACTGCTTCAGCCTGCTTTGACTGGCTCCATTGCAGCATGTTTTCTGGTTTTCTGTGAAGATCAACAGTCCTTAATTTTTAGTTTGCCCTGGTTTTGGTTATCTGAGTTTATTTTCTGTGTGCGTCCTAGTGTTTCTGTGCCCTATTGTTCCTGTTCCCTTGTAGTCATCTCTTGTGAGTTTTCAGTTTGTGTCTGACCCTGGTTCCCTCGTGTTCTCAGTGTTTTTTTGCTTACATCAGTTTTCAGTGTTTCATGTTTTATTTTGAAGTAGTTTAATCCCTGTGTTTCTAGTCTTGTTTTACTCCCTCAGTGTGGGATCCATTTCGGACACAGCCCTTGTCTTCCCCTGTTCCTTCGTCGGTTCATTATATGTCTATGCCCCTGTGTGTATGTCGATGCATCCATGGCTGTGTCTTAAATGGATCCCTAACCCCTATATAGGCAACTATATGGGGGTCAGCGCCATTTTGAGGGGTGTCCGAAATCTGAGTGATCAATTCCAATGCTTCATAAAGGCGACTCAAAATTTCCCATAGAGCATTGCAAAATGTAGTGACCATCCGATGGTCACTCACCGGTGGTGGGCATCCCGTCATACATTGCGTCAAGAGATGTGAAAACAACAGCCGCAACTTCAGACGCGGCAGTCTGAGCAGTGATGTCACAACGTTGCGCCATGTAGAGTATGGAACCTCTGGTGATTGAGCTCACTACATAACCAGCTATATAGTCAAACCCCATATGGAGGTTAGGGGTTAGGGATTAGGGATTGAGTGATCCATTTTGTACACAGCCAGAGTGTCTCCAGAGTCTGCAGAGTTCCCCCAGTGCCTTCTGTTGGTTTTTGCCCTTTTAGATTTTTAGTTCCTTTGGATTTTGCCTCTTGGTTTTTTTTGCCTTTGGGAATATTTCTGTTGGACTTTTGAAGTAAGTTTTTGTTGCTTTTTAATTCCTTTTAAATAAATCCTTTTTTTGGTCGTCCTGCGTTTGGGTTCTCTTTTCATTTGTTTCAACCGGGATCGTGACACAGACAGAGGGCAAAAAAATCCTCTTGGTTACTCTTTTCTGAACTCTCACTAACTCATTGTACAATATTCTCATGACCAAAAAAGGGTAATATTAGGAATTGGGAAATGTGCGATAAAAGTCAGACATCCAAAAATTAAAAAAACAGAAAAAAAAAACAGGAGCGGGCAGTTGAAGAGGTGTGAAGGCAATGACAGGGTGATTGCATCAGAAAGGTGCCCTCACAGTTTCCCTCTGAAAAATGCAGAGATTCCTCAGGGGGACCTATTTTTTTTTTTTTTTTTTCCTGAGGATTTTTACATGAATATGTTGTGTATCATTAGTTTCCAGTGTGCGCATTCTCAAGCCCCAACAGACCACGTGTGTGAAAACACTTTAAGCGTGACCGGTTCATTTCCACAGAAGCTTAAGACACTGAATAACATGCGTATGTGTCTGAAACTCCTGCTATGGCTCATAAACACTCTCATTTGTTGGCGTAATTTCAGCTATGAAGAGGGATAACATGGCACTTCTCCCACAAATTGAGGATAAACACGAAGAGAGGGAGTGAGGAGGAAAAAAAAAAGCATTCACATTCACAACCTCGCACAAACGCTCACACACATAATCATGCAAACAATCACTGTCTATTCAAGGCTGCAGCAGATATCACTTGTGCTTTCTCTGCAAACAGATTTATGCTAGTGAGGTAAATTGAGGTCTAGATTAATTTAGCACGGCTGTATCAGGTTGACAGACTGAGCACAACTATGCATGCATAAATGTGTGTGTGCGCACTGAATGTAGTGCTGTGTGTATGTGTGTGTCTATGTATTCTTTGTTGATGTATAAGTGTAAGAGTCAGATAGGGTCTGTACATTTAAAGCAGATGAAAGCTTTCATGTTTGATTTCAGTATTCTGCAGGAAAATGTGGTACCGCTTGTCAGGATCCTTCTGACATAAACAAATGACTCCCGAGTTCACGCACACACATACACTCATGAACACACACACCTCGGCTTTCATTCATTTGCACCTCCCCTCATATATACTTGCATCTTTCCATGGACATATTTCCTTGTTCAAAATAATTACTTTGACAGACTCGGGAAAAGTGTGAAGATAGGGTTAGGGGGGGAGGAGGCCAAGTACACACAAAAATAAACACACATAGTGTATAAAGAGTGTGAGTCAATGTGCACTTAACGCAGCTCCTGTAATCTTGCGTAAGCCCAAAGGTTGACAAATACACAGGATTCATTATCTCAATCTCATCACCCAGCGGCACTCAGAGGAAGGTCGCTTCCTGTGATTGGATCATTTCCTAGTTGTGACTTAAGCCTGCAAGGCGGATCGATACCGTGCACACAAACACAACAACACAATGGATCAATGTATATTAGTTACCTTTCTGTTGATTTGGGCTTAAGAGAGTCCTGTCAGCCTCCACTTCTCTTTACTCACTCTCCGACTAGAAACCAGACTCACCTGGATGTAGCATTTATCTGCGATGTACAACAGAGACTATTAGACGCTACAGTAATGATAATACCAAGGTGTTTGTGCATGTCTGTGTGTCAGCTAGGGAACACAGGGGTCACATATCCTCTTTGCTGCCTTCCTATCCCTCCCTTTTTCCCCCCCTCACCTCTGCTCCTGTGTGCAGGCATATTACTGAAGCAAATTGAGGCCAATAGACTCTGTCACCACATGACCCAGGGCTCACCAAACAGAAAAAGGAGCATGCCAGAAAGAGAGAAACAGCCAAATGGAAGGGATAAAAGAGGAGATAAAGGGAAGGAGAGAATGTACGAGTTGGAAGAGCGAGAAAGAAAGGTTTGGACGGCTAGAAAAGAGAGAGAGAGAGGGAGGGAGGGAGAGGGAGTTAGAGAAAGAGAGAGCCAGGAAGTGGACATAGAGAAGGAAAAGAAACAGAGTGGGAGAGAAAGAGAGAAAGAAGTGACAACCTCAAATTAAATTCCCATCATGTCAGTGTAGAACAGAATTCAATAGTGTTTATTGGCAGCCCCCAGCCTCAGGGAAATTACATTCTGAAGCAGAGCATGGCATGAATGCACATACACTCACACCCCTCAACACACAGGGGCGCACATCTATTGTACACAACAGTGTGCATGTCTTAGGACCAAAAACCCTCTGGCTGATGTAAGCATGTGGACAAGTGAATTATCCCCTCAGGACCATGTGCCATTTGTTCAGTGCATGTCTGTGTGTATTTGTCCACCCGTGTGGTATTTAGACACTCCTGAACATGTGTGTGTGGGTGTGTGGATGGGTGAGTATATGTGTGTGTATTGTTTTTTGGAACTTTCTCTACTTTCCATGCACTTTTTTTGTTAGTGTACATTTGTCAAAGTTGTGTAGTTCTTTGTGTCTGTCATGCACAATCACTGCTTTCTCCGCAGTCAAACTTTGGACTATTTGCCATTACAGTGCAAACACAGGTTTTTATTATAGTGGCTGTATTAAATGTGTCCCCAGGCTCAAGTTGCCATGAGCGCAGGGCTTCAACGCCTTTGTCCAACCTCCAACAGCAGCAGCAGCAGCAGCAGCAGAAAATGCCCGGCGCTTTAATGGGATGCCGTTTAACAGTTTTATGCAGAGCACATGTAGAAGCTATTACTGCTGATGTCTCTGGGATGCAGATTTGTTCTAAATGGCTAACAATCTGCCATTCTTTCACCCCTCCAACCCCTCCCTTTCTGCTCTCTATCTTTCCCCCCTAACCCTGAATGTCTTTGTCTGTTTACGCCTTCATCACAACTCTCTCTCATTTATGTCTCTCTGTCTGCAGGAGCGAGCGGAGAGGGCTTTGGGCTGCTCAGCGGAGGATCTGAAGGCTCTTTTCTACTGTGAGCTGTGTCACAAGCAGTACCTCAGACACCAGGAGTTTGACAACCACATCAATTCCTACGACCATGCACACAAACAGGTACACGAGATGCACCTGCACTGCAACCACAATGTTCTTATATATATATTTTTTATTATGTAACATCACGCAAAACCTTCACACACAAGTGAGCAGGTTTCTTTTTAAACGTCTCCTCCGATAGGTGAGTGTTGATGGAAAGCTACTTTTAAATTTCCATGTCAATCTACTCGTGGGCTCAGTTTCTCACCAGGTAACAGTAGGAGTGTGACAACTACATCATCCTTTACAAGCACATACACACACACACACACACACACACACACACACAGGAGGGGAACAGCTCATCTCAAGACAGGAGCACTCACAACTTATTCAGTTTACACACAGAGAGAGACAGACTGTATTTCATTAAGGATAAACTTTATTGATCCACGCAGAGACATTTAAGTCACAGCAGCTTTAAAGAGGATAGAAAATGAAAAACTAAGGTGCTACACTGATTTACTATGAAAGGTCTAAAGCAAAATAAAACTTCTATCTCTATTTTTTCTACATACTTAAATGATCCCTCATCCCTTCATAGTCAGGCATACTGAACAACAAATTATAAAAATTAGCTCAAAGACAGAATCATCCCAGTGAGCTCAAACTTAGAAATTTGGTGAAAACAGAGCGAAATGAAGCTTTTAACTGTTTTTCAACCAGCTAAAACATGGCAGCTATGTCAGTGTGCCAGAAACCTTGTTTTTATTTTGATGAATTGTTCATTTTGGGACAGAAAGGAGGAGAGAAATTATTTTTGTGTGTTGGCTTTTCTCTTAAGTAATTATCCAGCAGTAGTTAAAATCCTGTCTCTGCAAAGACACAAGTTCAGTGCATGTTATTTTTCATACTCTCTAAAACTATGGCGAAGAGCGTTGAGGAAAATAATACAGACAGCAATTTGAAGCTTTCATAAAAGAAAACGATACGTACTTTATACTTCAGCTTTGAAACTCAGACTCTGAGAACTGAATTACTCTTGGATGCTGATGTTGCTTCACAACAAACAGCACTGTGCCAGGGAGGAATCCTGTAGTTTTAACAGAGAGTGGTGGATTTAAATATTCGGGGTCTCCGTATCATATCTAGTGGGCAGTGTTTCAATTCTAATCTCTGCTCGTAATGCACCGTAATATTGGCTGCAAAATGTGTGGGAGTGAAAATCTGTAAATGTGTCATGACTTTTGTGGCAGAAGCAGAATTCAAAGAAAAAACTGTTCCAAACATAAACATTTAGTCAACATCTTTACACAGTGACTGAAAGCAAGGGCACTTTAAAACTGTTTTTAACATTTATTCAAGTGAGACCATGAACATTTTTCCAACATATTTTAAACCAGAGGAATCTCACTGCGATCAGTTTGTTTCATTTATGAAACAGGCTTAAAGTGAACAAATATTTTCCTTGATCTTGTTCAAAAGAATTGTAAAGCCAAAGGCAGCAGCTGATTTTTCTCATTTTGAGGTTGATAGACCTCTCTGAAAGAAGAACAAAAGAAGATATTGTCACTGAAGTTGTAAGCTGCATTCAAATACTGCCTGCTCTTAAAGCACACACTTTTTTTCTAAAATATGTCAGCTTTTTTGTTTATTTTCCACCTTTTATTTCACCAGGATTACCCTACCAATTTCAAAAGTCTCTTTTCCAAGTCAGCCCTAAAAACAACCAGATTTATATAGTACACAGAAAATGTAATGATGAAGGTCGGTTGAAGAGTCTTTGTGCTTTCCTGGCATGTTATTCAAAGAAGTACCTGAAACAATCTGATGGAAAACTGCAACTAGAAAAGCACTCGGAGAGCACAGACCTCCGCCAAGCAGCTCATGTCTCCCCTTATATTGTGATTCACACCAAACTTTTACTTTACGTGTCTTTTATTAACGTTTATTTGTGTTTAAACTGGTATGTTCACTGTTCATAATGTTCCTAAAACAAGAAATACCCTGACCCGGATTCAAACCCAGAACCTTCTGGTTGTGAGGCAACAGTGCTAACCACTACACCACTGTGCCGCCCATTTGTTATCTTTCAGCATTGAAAATTCCAACGACACCCTTATTTTTGTGTGTTATGGATCACAGTATCCGGAATTCTGTCCAGATCAGCACCAAAATTTAATGGGATCCTCCTGGGGCTGAGACGCACCTCTGGTGAAAATTTCAGGTCAACCCGTCGGTTACTTTCTCCGTAAAGTTGCTAACAGACAAACAAACTCACAAACAAACAAACCAACACTACCGAAAACATAACCTCCTTGGCGGAGGTAAAAAAGTGACTACCTAATTATTATACATCAGTGAAAAACCGGAGTGTTAATTTTTATACGTATATGGTACCCAGGGATGTAGCTACAAAATCCTCTTTACAATTTGTACTTCCTTAAACAGACAAAGTCCTGCACTGTGCCATTAGTCACAGCTCAAGTTTGATTCTATTATAACAGTTTGGACAGGATGAGGCCAATGGACCATTAGAAAAAGGCCCGGCAGCAGGTTTCCTCCCGTCCTCTGCTTTCACATCCATTCTCATACACAACCTCCACTTTGGACTAACAAGCTGAAGGTTATGCTGATAGCACACTCTCCTACAGCTATCTGTTGTTATGCCAAGACATACACTCACAGACGCACATAACAAACCGTACAGACATGCAGCGCACACACACTCTTCATCAAACACGGGCAATCTCTTGACTGAGCCAAGCCGCTACCCACTTCAGAACGCCCACACTGTGCAACATGAAATAAACATTAAATAAAACTGTTCCTTCACCGTCATTGTACTTTGAAAATGAATTGAAGCAACTGCAGGCCAATGTTAATGCTTTGTTTTAGCCAGCGGCGGCCGCATGAAATGAGCTGCATGAGGCACTGAGCTGACAGTAGCCACTGGCGTTGCAGGAACACACACACATACATAGAGGCATGCGTGCACACACAGCTTACTGAGCAGACCGCAGATGAAATTCCAGCAGAAGACAGCGTCCCTGCTGGAGTATCGGCTTTGGAGGATGGAAACTGATTGCATTTGCTCTGTCTCCTTTCCTAGTCATCGATTCAAGGATAAACATGTCTGAATGCTGCACTTTGTCAGCAGTTACAGCTGATTACAAAAATTGCTCATTACAAAGACATTACACTCCCCTTTTTTAAATAAAAGTAATCAGCCTATTAACACGGCCCCACACATGCTACCCAAGGCTATAGCATCCCTTGTTCGACAGACTCGGTGGATGTGCATCAACTCTGACTCATATAGTTGCCTCAGCCTGAGTGCTTCTTAACACATCTAAAGGAATATTGATCGAGGCTTTGACAGACGGATTGAGCTTCATAGTACGTAGTGAGACTGGCATGTTGGAGAGCAGGAGCAATATTGCTTTCTCGCTGAAGGGGACATGGCATCAGCTCTGAAGACAAAAGTATTTCTTACTTTAAATTGGGTAGCGGAAACATATCTCTGCTCAGTGTGCTCAACGAAAAACGGTTCAGCGTGCAGTATTTTGTTTGGCTCTAAATATAGCTACAGGTTTGCCTGCAGTGGGACCTGTTTTTAGGAGAGAACAATAAGCTGGCAGAGTGCAAATGCAGGAGGAAGGAGGAAGTATTCATCTTCATATATTCCATCTATTGTAAACTCTCCCTCCTTTTCTCTCTCTCGCTCTTAGTCATTGCCATGGACAGCTAGAGTACAACCACTGATATTTTCTTCCTCCTCTCTCCTGGCTCTGTCCGCAGCGGTTCATTATGCATGCCTCTCTGCTTGAACATGATTAATATTTTCCATAGAATGAGTTTGGCATCAAAGCTCCTCAAACCATAACACACACACACACATGCACAAGCACCCATACTGTACATCGTGCATGTTTAAGGAACTCCTGGCACGTCCTTAATGCTGTCTTCAGCAGGCTGACAGAAGGATGGTAAGCATCAAGCCGTAATGTAAAAAGACACACGATTGTGTTAGACTCAGCAGAGATTAACCTGACGACTGTCAGCTGCAGCGCAAGATCTTGGTGTAAAGGAGAGGGAGTGTATAAATAAATCTGATGTCTGAGGGGCTAATCTGATGTGTGCATGAGTGCGTGTTTGTGTGTGTGTGATACAAACTGTTCGGGGTGGATAATAGCGTAGCATAATCTAAAAGTGAGAGTGGTGTAATCCTGTTGCAATATATATACTACAGGATAAGTTCTCAAATATGTAAGATAAACAACAAATCCTGGATTCAAAAGTCATGCTGCGATTGCACAATGAGGGAGCTCAAATATACAGGGAAGTAAGGGAGGAGATAGGAGGAGTAGTGATGCACGATACTGCAGCTATTTCCAAACTCTTTAGTCCCTCCTTAGCCTTCAGACACACCAGTATGCAGACACACACACACCTGCCAAGCATGGATAAAGGAGGGATTAAAGTGTGACAGAAAAGGAAACCGGAGAAAGAGGCATGAATCATTGTTTCCCTGGGAGTATTGGCGCACCTATAGTAACAGACACAGAAATATACACATGCACTCTGGCGCAGCAGGCCTAATTGTTTTCCACTTCTTCCGTGATTAATGCATTCGAGGCTCACTAATTTGTTCAAAATCAAATCACTTTTAATAAATTGTACTCGTATATCAGGTCATGAATATCTACTGCAGCCAAACAGCACTCATGTGGTAAAATACTTAAGCAATTTTGAGACAAAGTCTTTGGCCTTCATGGTTTCTTAAATACCTATTTTGACAAAGATAAGCGGTCAGACCTTTGTGTTTGGTGGCGTAAAAATTCCTACATCAACAGATCGAGGCCTTTTGAGCCTTAAAGCAGATGTCACTGAAGTACAAGTCCTCCAAAACCAAACTGTGGTGGCTGATGAAGGATTGAACATGTGAGAAATGTCAGCAGAAGGAGCATCATTATCATTGAATCACTCTTGTCACTCACCCCTACTGTGTCTGTAATCTGCCTTTCACCATGTCTGCTTGTGTTTGGTCTCAAGCTGTGTATTGGAGGAAAGACATTTTCTTCCAGGCTGAATGGAGTTAATTGGACATGAGCTTTTGAGGAGAACATCTGCAAATGCTCCTGAGTGATGTGTGATTTGACAGACAGCTGCCTGTGGGGAGCCTCCTATCACTAATCTACCCCTCTCTTTCTTTTCCTTTCTACCCCCTGTCCTCCACATCCTTTTTTTCTCCCATCTCCCTCTTTTCCTCTATCCTGAACTTCATTTTCATCTCCTGCAGAGACTGAAGGAACTCCAGCACAGAGAGTTTGCTCGAAACGTGGCCTCAAAGTCGTGGAAGGATCAACGCAAACAGGAGAAGGCTCTCAGACGTCTGCATCAGCTCGCACAGCTGCAACAGGAGACTCAGCGGTGAGTGAGTGTGTGTACTTAGTGTGTGCTGCTGTGTGTGCGTGTGAACCAGAATGGTTGGAGAGTGTCACAGTGAGTCAGTGTTTCTTAGAGGTGATGGATGCATCCTCAGATGTGTAAGCACTCACTTGTCCTATATGGGCCACAGGTGAAGTTAATAGGACTGCTGACTCGTTGTTAGTAATAAGAGGTGAATTGTTAGAGAAATAGATGAAGTTCAAGAAAAGGACTGACAGAAAAAAAGTTATCTTTTAAAGAATTAAATAAAGGGACGGAAACTAGTTAAATATTAAAGTTGCCTCCAGGTTTGCACACCTAAAGCAATCAAAACAAGGGATAAATAACAATACATCACGTAATCATCAACTTGATTGCACCTTTTCACTCTGCAATTAAATGTGTTTTTCTATAATCAGGCGGCGATATGTGATCAGCATCGCTATGACTACCGACATCATGTCTGCTTTTTTAAATTCCTTTCTTTATTTATGGCGTCCTTTTTTCTCATTTTTTCCCCTTCATCTGACTTTTTTTGCTTCTTGTTTTTCACATCAGCAAATTTATTGTTATACTAATAAAATGTCCGTAAGTCTGAAGAATCTCTAAAGTCATAAGCAGAGTTGTATCCACAGGGGTGTCCAGGGATGGCATATCTCCTTATTTGACATCTGATTGACCACTTCAGATGCCAACCCAAAATCTCACTTAATGATTAGCTATTGGCTTGTCAGAAGGACCCGTGTTAAAATCACCTACAGGCTGTGTTGAAACAGACTGATTCTCAATCATGTGTTGCTATGCACAAACTTCATGCCCGCCATCCCTCCACAAGTCAAAGCCCCAGTCAGGTCCCCTCAGTTGAAAAAGTATGAAAACACCCCTGGTAATGAGAAAGACCACATATTCATATACTGTAGGTACTTCTGATTATAAAGGATGAATATGCATATGATTCATTTTATGTCATTTGAGTTCAGTTTGACTTCATAAAGGTGTGTAATTATTTAAATTAAGGGTCACCAGAGTTTTCAAGCCCTCAAAACAATATTGCTAGAGACTGTGACCCCAGTGTGCCCTGAGATGGTTAAGTGTTACTCACAGCCATAGATAGGCACTAAAACTCCAATCCAACTTAGACATCAGAACAACACAAAAGAACGGCGCTGCCAATACTTAAATAAATAAACAATCATTTAAACTAATTAAAGAAGCACAATTCTAATGTAGAGACTGTAACAGTGGTCTGACCATTTAATATGCAGATGCACAGGTGAGTCTGTGAGTTGAAACCTAAAACTTATTATTTTAAGCCAACACGGAAAGTAGAAAAGTACATTATTATAATTATAGATAAAATGAATAATAATAAGATTAATGATAATAATGATGATACATTATTCTTGGGAAGGCTCCTCTGGACACCCAATTCAGAGGTCCTGACCCTCAATGTAGGTACCATCAATGTCAATGCACTACAAACATTACTTCGACCAGCGTGCCTACTGTTTATCGGTCTGCAACCTTTGGATAACATTAAAGATCTGTTACTTGAATTTAAATGTATGCCATCATGGTTAAGTACATAATAAATATTGTTTTATTTTTGTGCTTTTTTTAATTGATTTATTTAATTTGACCTGCTGCCATAATTGAAGTTACAGAGGATTTCCCAGTCTATGCCACTCAGGGTTACTTTCACAGTGGCTCTAACTGTCTTCTTGTAGGAATTTCTTCAAGCACCAACTAAAATAAAGAATATTTCTCTGACTTTATGTTGCAGAGTCTCAGGAAGGACTTATGGACTAAGAAGTGCTGTCAGGTCCATAAGCCAGCAACAGGATAAAGACCCTGACCAGCAAGACCACAGCCGAGATGACAAACCTGCACCCAACAATCCCATCCCAAGACCCAAGTCTCCACCCCTCAGCCACCAGCCAGAAGATCCATATGAATCTCCTACCCGAACACTGCTGCCCACTGCCCCAACAGAGACCCCAATAGGTGCACATCCAGCAAACACCCAATCTCGCCCGAGCTTGTGTTCCCAGCCACCTCCCTCAGGGAAGGAAAAAACTGGGGGCAGGCTTGGAGTGTCCTTCTGTTTCTCCCGCAGAGGACCCAGACTTGAGCCTTCTGCTTCTGTCTTCTCAGATCTAGAGGAGGAGGAGAGGGAGAAAAGGGAACAAATGAAAGAAAGGATAAAGGTAATAATGGAGGATATTGACAGGGAAATTGGGGCAGCAGAGGAGGGGAAACACAGTGAGAGTGAGAAGTGCAGCTGTGACGGTGTTGGACCAAGTGACACAGGGTTGATCTCCTGTGATTCTCCCAAAGAAAAAGTGAGGAGTGAGAAAAGAGACAAAGGGAAAGAAAACTCTCCTTCTCCCACAGAGAGCCCTGATCATCAGAGCCAGGAATCGCTGTTTTTGCCATCACAAACACATGTGAACATATGGGATAGAAAAAACGAAAGCAAGACAGAAACAAAGCGTGAAACAGAGGACTTGATGGAGGAAAGTCAGTATATGTCAGTGCTTGGGAGAGATGGCTCTACCCATCTGAGATGGCCTGTCAGTTTGCTTAAGTTCACCATTTCTCAACCAAACATCTGCTACAGCTGCAACCCACTCTGCTCCAATCCCCAACGACAAGAACAACTGGCAGAGGAGCCGCAGGAGTCACAACAAAATCGGTTGTGTGCTCTCTCAGATGAATCAAATCCACGTGTGCCAGCTATTTCTACACCAGACACTCATACCTGTTTACAAAGACAGACAAGAGAAGAAGAGCTGAGAGCAAAGGGAGAGGAAAAAGCTGTGGCGAATTTCAAGAGAGAGCAACATGTCGATGTGGAGACAGAAGCACACCTGTTCCTTAAGAACACAAACCTTTCATCACCAGAAACAACACCAGAAAGAGGCAGATGCATGCTAAGTATAGAGAACTGTGCAAGGGCAGCCTCCCATCCATTTGACCCCGCTCATAGTGACAGCTCTGACACAAACTCCCAGAATCCTCAGGGAGGAAGATTAGAGGGTGTGAGAGGGATCAGGGAGAAAGCCATCATGGCTCTGAGCTGTAAATCAGAGTCTGTCATCCAACCTGGCACACAGGGGACATGCATCAGCCCATCCAGGTGTGAGTGTGGGAGTGAGACAATGTGCAAGTGTGCCAGTGCTGCACAGTCGTACGTGGGTGTCTCAGAACTGTCGCACAAAAAGAGAAAGAAAGCCAGCACTGAAAAACACAAGCTGGGCAAAAGGAAAAAGGGGGAGAAAGAAAAAGAGTCAAAAAAGCAGCCATCAGCTAGGTGCAAAGTGAGGAGCGTTGTATCCACGGTCTCTTCTGGCAGGGTGAGGAGAGGAGATGCTGGAGGGAGCTGGGGGAAGGGAAGGAGGCAAAGAGGGATGAGGAAAAGGAGGGTGCAGAGAGCAGGGAGCAGCTGTCTCCTGGGGAGACCTGAGACTGAGCCAGTATCTGTCTCTGTCAGGAAGAGGGGGCCTCACAGGAGCCACAGCACTGAGTCCCAGTCACAGGCAGACAGGGAGCAGGCAGAGAACCACAGTGCCTCCTCCCTGCTCAGCAGACACACAGCAGACAGTAACACCAAGGGGGAGGGGAGGCAAGACGGCGATGCGGGGACTTTTCCCTGGCGGTCAAACTTCTCTGTACATGCCTTCTCACCAGGATGTAACTCAAAGATGTTTTGGGAAAGGGGTCACCATAGCAACCCCAGGAGTTTCATTGACTGCTGTTACCCTGACAACAGCTGTAGTTGCAGCCTGGCAAGAAAGAGAAAAATCCTCCACAGGGAAAGGAAACCCATTCATCGTAAGAGGAAGAGTTTGAGGCACAGAGAAGTGTGGGAGCAGACAGAGAGGAGCAGGAGAACAGCAGGGCGATCAGGGTGCAAAGACAGGGTAAGGATTTCTGATGCTGATCCATGGGACTGGATGAGCTTCCCAGGAGTTAGCGAAGAGGGTACGTCGAGGCCTTGGTGGAGATCAAGAAGCAGAGCAGAGGAGTGGGATCAAGTGGCAAGGTTTAGTCCCAGTCCAAGCAGGTGGGGTAGGAGAAGCAGACACCTCAGCACAGAAGATGTAGACTGGGACAGATGGACATGGGGCAGCAGTGACAGCTGGGAAGACTGGGGGACACACAGATCTACATCAGGGTACAGGACAGGGGCGGACAGCAGAGACAGTCCAGGCTTTATGTGGAAGAGCTCAGGCACCACACGCTCAAGCTCGAGACAATTCTCCAGCCCTGAGTGGTGGACGAGTAGACAGACATACAGCCCACAGAGTGTGACCCCCTCACAGGCTGGCAGATGTCAAAGCCCACGATCTTGCAGCCCCTGCAGCAGCACCAGCATGTCAGAGCTGAGCTTGGAGTGGAGCCGGAGCAGCACCTGCTCAGGAGGGAGAAGTGATGCATTGACTTTTAGCTCAAACAGGACTTTCTACACAGCTCAAGAACACGCATCAGGTGAGGCAAAGAAGCAGGGAAGTCCTACATCCTCTTCTTCCAGCCTCACTTCTTGCTCCTTCTCTCATCCTTCACCCCAGAAAGCCTCTTTTACTCCCACAATCCAAGGTCTCATCACAAGTCCCTCTCAGCAAAAAGAGTCCAATTTACTGTCCAACCTTACTACTCTTACAGGAAAATCTCCAAGTAAGACTCCTCTACAGAAACCAGGAAGGATGTTGCTCCTTCCTCTCATCGGGAAACTGCCTTCAATCCAGAGAAAAACCAGAAGATGGAAAAGATTGCTTGAGAAGAGTCAGGAGAAGGAGGGAGAGGAGGACAAGGAAGTAAAAGGTAGTGGACTGGATCAGGGAGTAGATGTCATCAGGCGAAACTGTCTGGAGATAGCTGAGTCAAATTTGGGCAGCTCACCAGATCTCACCTCGTTGCTAGGTAGGACAGATGACAAACAAGCGTGTGGAGAGACGGTTCCGCCAATCAGCTTTACCGCTGAGGAGATGGGGAAATATCGCCTCTTGCAGGAGCAGGCAAGAGAGCACATGCAGAAAGTCCTGGAACAGACGCAAGAGAGGGAAGGGTCTCACGCAGAAATGAAGTATCCACAAACCCCACAGACAGAGAACTCTGGGACTTCTGAGGACCAATACACACCTGCACCCTTGCACACCCAGTCACTTCACACAGACACAATGCAAACTCAAGCACAGCACACACACCAGGTCAATCTCACACTCCCACATGTGACCCCACCGGAGAACTTCGCTCAGCCCATCACTCTAGGCGTCCCTAACCTTCCACCTCTCCCACCGTCCCCCTCCCTCTCAAGCCTCCATCATATCATTTTACAACACACAGCCCTCTCCTTGCCCCCCTCCTCCTCCTCCTCTTCAACCTCATCCCCTTCCCCCGCCATCCACCCTCACCCAGTCCAGCTTACTCACCCTTTACCCCCATTACACCCACCAACCCTCCCTCATCACCTTCACCTCCCTCCCTTCTCCATATCCTCCCTATTCCCCTCAATCTTGCTCTCCCATCATCCCATCCCCATCCTCCCACAGTCACCCACTTTTCACCCAACCCCACTCACCCCACTGTCTCCGGTCACCCTGCAACCCTTGAACCCACAGCCTTTCATGGACAGAGTATGGCCAGGGAGGTTTCAACAGAAGGCGTTGTGATTTTTCACAGAGTAGCTGCCATGTTTATTAATCTTGCTTGGCAACGCAGACCAGTAAGCAAGAGGGTGGGAGATGGGGAATTTTTGATTTGGATAAAAGCCGGCTATTTGAAATGAGGATGTGTCTGTGCTTTTACGAGCATCAACTCCAACTTTATTCACATATGCCCTTACACACACACACTCACACACACATGCACGCATGCATACACATACAGACAGCCTGGCTATTGACTGTTTTCAAATGAAAATTTGTTTCTCCATCTAGCCTTTGCTGTGTTCCAGCAGATAGTGAGAAAACATACTTTGATCCTGTCCTTTTTTTCCCTTCATTCCTCATTCAGGCCCGCAATAAAGGGAAAGGTGCACCTGCTATTCAAAGACAAGCTGGGCTCGTGTCATCCTCCCTCTTTGCCTCTGAACCACAGACAGAGCAGCTGCCTTTTGAAGTAGCCTTCATGTCAGAGACATAGGTTCAAGAAAAGAGTGATAATACTCCCTCCTTATCTCCAATTCACACAGGTTATCTGACTGAGAGTGTATCTTTTAACGTACGTGGATGATGTTTTAAGGGACACAGAACTGGAATTCTGAACACAGTGTTTGTATGTAAGGTGGAGGAAAATCGGGACCGAAACACACTTACACACACTGACAGTGGGAGGGACAACAACTAATTTCCATATCTGACACATTTAAAGACATGTGTTGTCTCAGTAGTGTAAATATTCTGACAGTAAATGATAATATTAGAATCATGGGAAAGAATAAAATAAAACATGAATATAACCTTGACTTGTGGTGTGATGATTTTCCACATTCATGCCTTGTCAGTGGCACAACAATTACAACTTTTCATATTCATTTGCAACATCAAAAAGGAAGTGCTTTCTTTACTTTTGAATTGGGATTGTATAAGGAATTTGTCAATAGTAACCATTTTACGGCAGAAAAATGGCAAGTATGATATGTCTTACCAACTATTGCAGATAGGGTGAACTCTATCACATAATTTCATTATTTTTTAAACATACTAAAACATTAAAGCTGGTTTATTTTGAAAGTTTTTCTGTGCTGTCTGAAAGCTTTTTTTTTGTTTTAGTACAGTTACACCAACATTCCCACTGGGCATTTTTTGGTCTAGAAGAGGTCTAATAGACGTCTAAATGTAGCCTAGACGACTGGTCTAAAATCAGGCTACCACAGGTCTAAAAATGAATGATTTTTAGACATCTAAATTTAGACCAAGTTTAGACCAAGTCTAAATCTGGGCTATACCTATACTACACTGTATATTACTCAACGGCTATCATAAATATTTTGGTTAAGTACTTGGAGATCAGTTATGCAACTCACAGTTTCTTTTTGAAATAAATAGTTATTGAATAATGGGTTAAAGTGCAACGTCTAAATTCCATCTAAAAATATAGATTCTAGATGGTTGAAACTAGGCCCTAAAAAAATTAGATGTCTAATAACCGTCTATTGCTCACCTGCAGCACAGAGCTCAGCTGTTCTATAATCTACAACTCAGTTGATTTTTTTTCTAAATTACTAGTAGTTTAAAATTTGATATTAGTTTGAGATAAGTTTAAACAACATATGTTAAACGTTATCCAGCTGGTTGCAGAGTTTCTTATTCCAGGTCAGTCTTACTTCTCAACAGCCTTCACACAATAAGCTCTGATGATAAAAGCATTTTATGCAGACAGTATAATAAAAAAATTAAAAAAAAAACAGTGAGATCCAATAAGGTTTTTAGATTAAACTTTAAAATAGCAGTTCATAAGTCAGTAAGGCAGGGAACTCGAACTGAGAAAGGTCCTAAAATACTGTAGTTTTCAAGTCCTGCTCGTGACAGCAGTTTGTGGGAACTGGCACATCTGCACCCCCATCTAACATCACACTGTGTTCTCGCTCAAGGAGTTATATTCATGTGACCACAGTACTTGTAAGTAATCCTCTTACTACTAGCGAGTACGTCATACAACCCCACTTCAAAAAAAAAAGCCAAACTATCCTGTTGAAGCAGCTAAGTTCTTGAGACAGCAACGAATGAATCAAATCTGTCACATTAATTCTTTGGTGAAAATAAATGGGCTTTGATGCTTTTTCCTATTCTCTCTGATTCGTGTTGATCGTGCAACATGTTGCAACATGTTCCACATTAAGAATTGATACTCTGTGGTTTACAGCTCTGCCACTCCAAGCCTTTAAAAAGATCTTACTGTAGTAGTTTCGAATCATTCAAGCTCTTGACCTCTTAGATTGCAATTTTTCTGATCAGGTTTTTTTGTTGTTAGCAGAGGTAAAAATATACAGTATTTTACACTGAATTCAAGTGTTGTATTTGCTTCACCTTCATTCATCTTGAATCAGAATTTCGCTATTGAAAGATACCAATTTTTGAATTCCTAAGGTCTCTGTCAGGGAAAAGTCATGGTGACATTTACTGCAGCTACCAAAAGTAGTAATTTTTTTTTTTTTAAAGGAAAATCACTGTGAAAGTGCTCTTATTGTGACATTTGCAGAGTTACATGCTGCCCTTTGAAAAATACTGTGTTTTGATTTAATTGTCTGCTTTTAGAGTAGCCTTTCTTTATTGGCAAACACATTAATCAGCTCGTCCAAAAGAAGCAAGCTTCAATCTAATGTCCAGTTTGACTTCACTTTCCTGAGCCATCAAAACCAGACGAGTAGAGTGGTAAAAAAAAAAATAAATAAATAAAATAGGAGGGTTATATGAGAAATTGAAAAAAACGTAGTCAGCATCGGACAGTTTTGATCTGCCTTAGATTCAAACATGTTAAGTAAATTTATGTGTTTCCAAAGGTTGATGTGGTTAGTAACTGTTGCTATGCATTCATGCCTGGTGACTGGAGAACAGTGAATGAATAAACACAGCGTGCCAAACAGTTGAACACTACAGCGGCCGGCACTCAGGGAGCAGAGCACAGCAGAGAACAGAGCTGCATCCAGATGGTCTATGGACTTGGACTACCCAGAGTGCTTTGAGAGATTGGATTGATTTGCCCCCCGTGATATCAGTGATCACAGGCCAGCATGCGGTGGAGTGGGGGTGGGGGTTGGGGTTGGGGGGCCACTGCAGCAATGGGCGACACAAATACAGACCCAAAAACAAGAACCAAAAATTGCACTCTCTGTCCTGAGGTGTTGGCCTGAAATATAAGTTAACCCCTGCAGAGATTTGATAATTAGGGCGCAATTCGTCTATCTCCTCCCCCTGACCCTTGAGCCTGTGTGTATGTGTGGTGATGTGTATGTGTGTGTTAGTATGGAGAAGTGTGTGAGTTCGAGAAGAGCAGAGACAGAGAATCCCTATCTCTCTCCCCAGGACGGGAGATCAAACAGACTGTGTGAAATATAGAGCAGCAATAATTAGCAGCTGTTACAGCATCAAACCTCTCTATCTCTACCTCTCCTTCTCTCTGAACACACACATTCACATACACACACACACAAACGCACACACACACAATCTGAATTATACACCGTGCTGCTCTCCCTTAGCCCAGAGTTTAATTTAGAGATACTCAAACTGCTGCAACTTCTAAGTCCTCCAGTAGTGATGATCTTGTTGATGACACTAAATCAACCCACTCCGCTTTCTCTGTCACCTTCTTTCCAGTTCAGCAAAAATCACTCACACAGCCTGAAGTGAGAGATGCAAATCAACACAAATACAAACATTCAGATTAAACACATCACTGGTAATAATGACGGAAAAATTGTTTAACCCCAAGCAAATTTCTCCACCAATATGGCCTCCTTCTTTTTTTCTTTTTAAATACGTTTTCTCACTACAGTTACTCACACAGGGGTCATGTGGAAATAAGCAATCACAATATCACTGTACTTTCTGTCAGTGACTGATTAAATCATTACAGGGGCCCTGAGATATTCTCCCCTCGGTGTGTTCATGTTTAGCTGTTGTGTGTGTCTGTTTCCGTGCCCCTTGTGTGTATTTGTGTGCGCATGCAGCAGTGCCATTTGATTTATGATGGAGAAGAAGCAGTTTCCTCACTCAATCGCTCCTGTGAATTAATGAGGTATAAAAACTAAAGCTGGCACTCAGTCAAATACAGCAGCAGCAGTCAGTGAGTGAGACAGCGAGGGAGAAAGAGAGAGGGAAAGAGAGAGAGAGAGAGAGAGAGAGAGAGACGGGGTAGGATCACCTCTATTGGCACCACATTTGATTGTTAGATTGTGGGTATAGATTGCATTGAGCGAAAAAGAGCCCCTCACGGCTACTCAAGCGATCCATCGACCTAAATTGCAATGCTGTATAAATGAGACACTTCCCATCTCCTGCTCTTTCCCTTTCTTTCTCTTTTTTCGTGGTCTCGTCTCCTACCCTTCTCTTTGATCCAACCAGGTCAGTGGGGCTCCGTTCGAACTCCCCAGGCTGTTCTCCGACTGTGCGGAAGAAAAGGCACCATTACACTCCGTCCTCTCATTTCACCCGTCCATTCAGATTCAACATCTTTCACATGTTCTAGTGCTGTTGTACAGCAGTCATTCTCACAGCACAATCTGCTTTTCAGAATTACCACACAAAGAAAAAGCCCTTCCCACCACCTTTCCCTTGCAGTGACATTCATTAAAAGTTTTCTTGAGTTGTTGTAGAGTGTGACATGCAGAGCCAGGCTGTTCCATCCTAATTTACATCTTTTTGCTGAATCTCTTCGCCTTTTTAGAAGAAGTAGCAATACAAATAGCAGGAATAATATTTTAACTATTTTACTAAGTCAAATAACATTCAAAACCTGCAAATAATAATGTCTGAGTGGATATTAAAATGCACAAAACCCAGGTAGAAATTCCAGTTTCCCTGTGCTGAATAGTCCCTTTAAAGTCGTATCATTTGATCATATCACACCCTAAATTTTTGATGGTTTCAGGTTGATGCATCTCTTTGTTAACTCCGAGAGCTTTTGAACCCCCATAAAGGTTCAGTTCAAAGCGTAATCTGTCACCAACGATTCGCCAAGAGACACTGCTGCAGCTTCAGGTGCGACATATGGAAAGCTAAGTAGCTTCAGGCTGTTTAGAGCTTTTACTTCAAACAGATAATTTACTGTGTATAAACCTGGACCAGGAAAAAGCACCTTTATCCTATGAAAAAAGAAAACGAGTATTTTTGGTTTCTGTTTGTTCTTGTTCACTTTGAGCTCACCTGGCTTCCTTGTTGAGGAGAGACTTGTTTGCGTGGTACTAGTATTATGTAGGAATATATACTGTATGTGAATTGTGCTCTGCGATGGATTTAGAGCTTAGAGGAGGTAGTGGGCTCAGCGATACTCTTAAACTTGGCACACTTGCCCAAGGACATGACACTGTCAGCACATTGCTTACTCTCACCTACACACACGCACACGCACACACGCACACACACACACGCAGAGGTGTAATAGGGTATAATTTAGCAGGCTGTAATTGTGAGATGGGATGCTCGGTTGTAAGACAGCATGGCTAATTCCCTAGTTATGTTATCTCTGAGGGACAGATGTTCCCAACAAAGATTACTATGCACAAACACATGAAACAAAAGAACATGCACACAAACTGAGTGTATCCAGAGATGGATGAGCACATTCAATCCTCAGACAATAAGAGCAGCAGGATGGGCTGAAATACTCCCAATGACCATGACCACAGATCAATAATGAAGACAGTTTCAGTGCATTTAACATATGAAATGAGCTCCCGGAGAATACACATTGACACAGTGGCCATTTTCCTGTAAGGTTGTGCTCCGTGTTGGAAGTCCTTAA